CGGCTGATGCGGAATGCCGCGGTAATAACTTGCTGGAAATGTGAGCTCTCGACTTTGCGCTAATGTCATAGAGCAGCACGCTATCGTTCACTGGCGGCTTTACAATGTCTCTACTGATGTCTATACAATGTTACTAGCAGCCTGTACATAGTATAGTATAAAGGATTTGAAAGGGAGTTTATTCTTTTACTACACCGAGTAGCACCAAAGTACTAAGTAGTAACCCTTTAAGGATTTGGGCTAGTACTTGGTGCTAAAGAAAACCAGTACCACAGACAGATAGATCTATTGTGCTTGTGTTGTGCTCTTTTATAGAGTTCGCTGGATGGGCCCCTCAGGGACAAGAATTGAAGGATATTCTTAGAGATATTTTTAAGGGGGGATTAGTAATAAGGGATATTGACCCCATTGCCAGTAATGTACCACGTTAGGTTGTCGTCCACACGGTTCCGCCTGGAAACCATTGTGATTAATTCGTGAATTCTCCATGTTGGACTAAATGACTAAACTTCATGCTATTGTATGAAGCTTCATGCATCATGTTATTGCCGACAGAAAGCACGTTTCCATTTATCATATATTTAAAGAAAAGTGTTTGAGGTAAGACATAAAGAGTATATCAAGCCAAAAGTCAGGTATAATTAAATTTCATTCACAAAGAAACAGAACATTTTTATCTATGTTGATGATGTCTGTGGTAGGTCTGAAAGAATCAAATAAACAAACGATATAAATATATCGTGTTTTAAAAACATCGTCACTTTTATTTCACGCTGAAATGATTGTAAAACTTAAATTACGTGGATTATAAAAATAAATAAAGAAATGTCGTATTACAAATCAAGAATATCGTACTTATAAACGCGAATTTTAGAAAACAATGTGTTAATCTTTAATTCAGAAGCCGGCGACAACTATCTGATAATATTTCGACTAGTTTTATGATCAATAGTCATATCTGTATTCTTCACACGTGTTTATTGTTCAACCATTTTGTTACCTCTATAAATGTTATGATCAATAAATAAAAAAAGTTAAAAACTATGAGTTGCTACAACACCATGTCATTGTCTCTACAATTTGTAGATTTATTTGTATCTGAGATCAAGACTGTGAACCAACTGTATTATACTGTGTAATAATAACCCTGGACAATTTACACGGCGCCATTTAGTCCCAAATTAAGCAAAGCTTGTGTTATTGGTACTAGATAACTGATATCAATACATTTTTTTTCATAAATACATACATAATTTACACATAGAAAAACCCAGAATACAATCTACGGCGTTATTTAATTAGTTTATTTAATTAGAGTTTGAATTGACCTCTGACCGTCCACTTTGCAAACAGAAATTTTATACTATTTCAGGTAGAAAATATATTATCAATTATGCTATTTCGGGATTGGCAGGGACACTATCCAATAATCGTCCATGTTAACTAAGATAGTTGACGACCTCGGTGATCTAGCGGTCTAGCACACACCGCTTTGCGTCCGATGGTCGCGGGGTCGATTCCTCGCACGGCACAAACATTTGTATTCATGACTATAATTGTTTTGTATCGGGCTGGGTGTTTTGTATGTATTTACATAGTATGTATTTACGATAAAAAAAATATCTACATATTTCTATCAGTTGTCTAGTACCCATAATACAAGCTTTAGCTAGCTTAACTTGGGTCTAGATGGCGCTGTGTGAATTGTCTTAAGATTATTATTATTATAGTTAAATCCTAGCGAATCGAACCGCAACCGGCGAAATGAGAATCTCATCTTCAACCTTTCAACCATCGCTGTTGCCTTGCCAACGTGTGCCAATAAGATTGCACGTAGACATATTACGAATTGCGATTTCATTATCTTACATTAAAAATATCCACAGCTTAGGTCAGTATATAGTATTCAAAGGTAACACGTACTTTTGCACTAAAGAAGTAATAACGTTATCTGTTATAGATAAAATTTTCAATAACATTTTGTATTTATCTGTGACACAAGATAAAGTTGTTTTGAGCGCGGACATATGTTATCGAACAGATAAAACATAGTAAAGTGCAAATAAAGATCTAAACGCTGATATCTGACAATGCTAATGAATTTATGCGAATTGTTCTTTTTGCTATATGCAACCTTTATTTTATTATATCAGGTGTACTTATATATATAAATCTAATCAACTGTACGGTAATGGAAAACATGGATAACAATCGAAATTAATCGAAGAGCAGTCATTGTGACGATTTATTGTCTATGAATTGTCACAATCGAGTAACTTAAATGTAAAGATATAATGTCTTGGTATATAAAAGATATGTAAAGAAGAGGAAGATCGTACAGAAGATGGATATAGATATAAAAGCGTGGCAGGTGGACCTTGGGCAAGAAATGCTAACAATAAAGACCAATAGAGACAGTTGAAGAAAACGTTAGCTTATTAGCAAACAGATATATACATATATTAGTAGATAACGTAAGTGCTAAAAAAACTAATATCTGAATTAATTTTTTTCAAAATAAATCTGTTATATCAAATACAGTTTTAACGAACTATCGGGGTACCTCTCTCTCACCTATAGCTGCCTCCAAATAGTATGCTTTACAAGCTGCATTATAGTTTAAATGATGAGCTATGGTAGTGAAAATACTGAAATATCACTGCTTTAGTACTCAAATATTATGGATTCAAGTATTGTTTGTGTTTTTCAAATGTTTGTAGATAGTTAAAAATGTGGTAAATATTTTTTGCGGAGGTTGTACATAGTTACCATTTTTATATGGTATGTGATCCGAGTAAAGTCGGAACAGTCCGCTTGTTAATTAATAAAGTAGCAATCAAATATCGAACGGAAGTATACATTGATATTGTTATTATTATCAATTATCAGAGATGAAGTAACGGATAGTTCTACGAATTGTTATTGTGTACCCTTGCCTAGTATATATTAGATAATCAACAAAATTGCCTACCATTTGTTTTATTAGTGGCAGAGGAAATTAGTTTTGTTATTGTTATTATACATAGATACCTAGACTGTTATTGTTATTATAGAATTCCTATTGTTATTTCCTGTCTGGAGGAAATAAATGTGATACAAATTTGTTTTTAACTATACATAAAAATACAATTTAAGTGTCTGTTTGTAATATTGAAATAAACGTTTTTTACTACATGCATATGAATATAAATATGGTACATACACCAAAATAACATTTTTTGTTCCGGCTATAGTTATTCCTTATTTCATCAGCTACCTGCCAATAAAAGTTCCGTCAAAATAGGTCCAGCCATTTCAGAGATTAGCCGGAACAGACAGACAGACAAAAATTAAAATTATTTAAATAATATTATTAAAATACTTATGTATGTTATTAAGGTTCTATTGTTAAAGACTGTACTTCTATGCGTATGTGTCAAATATATGGTAGTGTGTATAATGCTTTTTTTATTGGTATAAAGTACTTTTTAATGCCTAATTTAAAAAAAATACCATTCTGCACTTGTTCTCTATATATAAACTATTAATGTGTGAAATTTCATACCGTCCGCGCAATTATCGTTAAAAGGAGTACAAAGTTTTTGCTTCGCGTATTAATATATAGGCAAAATCAATACGATAGACGTTACATCTAAAAATGGTCCATCATTTTTCGTAACTAGGTCAGTATTTTTATTTTTTTTGCTTGTATCGGAATTCACAGGGTCGTAGTTTAATTCGCGGATGCAAGGGGTGTGGCACCCGGGCATAGAATAGTGGGGGGGATATTTCACCCCTCGCGATTTTTGTCAAGTTTTTTTAGTTTTAGGAGGCGCCCGTCATACAGGTAACTAGAGAGCCCGACCTGATTCTGTTCTATACATTTTATCGACAAAAAAAAAATTATAACGTCAGTTAGTAAAAAACATTTTTTGTACGAATTCATATAACTTTTTATAGATAAGCATATTGTATTTGTAGAGATGAAAACACGACTTACTTAAAAGTACTTAAAACAAAACATGTTATATATGACTCTATGCAAGCTATTATTTTGTTTGGAACCTTGCATCTTCTCCCATAGATTCAATTTTTATTTTATTCTTTTATACATGACAGTCTCGATAGTCTAGCGGTTTAGCACACCGCTTTACTTTCGATGGTCGATGGTTCGATTCCTCGCACGGTACAAACATTTGTATTCATGAGTATGATTGTTTGTATTGGTCTGAATGTTTTCTATGTATTACAGACACATAGAAAACACTAGTACTTTGAAATCAGAATTGTATTCCTCAATAAAGTTGCAGAATGGTCATAACAGATTTTTTATAGAGTTAGGTCTTTAAATAGCTCCATCAAATGATTAAATATACGCCATAGAGTAAGAATAAATTTCTTCAATTATTTTAATAGATCTTTAAATTATTCTTCAGCCTATTGGTAAACTGTAGTTCTCTATTTAAATTGTTGAAGGTTCATTAGGGTGAAAAATATGACTTCAAATTGTATGGAACACATCTCATATTTGTTATCTAAAAGGGAAATACATGTATTTAGAAAACCCGTGTAACATCATTTCATCTGTAGTACCGAAACCATTATTTCATCTATGCCCAAAATTACAGAACGAAATCAAAACAATCGCATCTCCCACGGATTGCCAAAAATAATACTAGCTATAGACAATAGTTTCTCTTTAAACATCATTTAAGACATGAATCCAACTCGATTCTTATATGAATGGCCTATTTTTTTTTACTATTATTTATAGTAAAATACAGTTTACGATTGCTGCTTGGTACGTTCTAGTACCTATAGGTATATTATCTACCTAGTTATAGGTGACTTATGTAGACCCAATATTCAAGTGCATGTACGATACATGTGCTATCAGGTAGTGTTGTAATAAGAAATTTGTTGAAACTATCTGAAGTAGAGTTCAATATTTATGTAATGGTCTTGTAACTCGGAGGTACGGAGGTACTAAAATAATTGGATAACTAGAGGACTAGTCTTACCTGTTTTCTTTTCAATGGCAAGTGTTGCTTGTGCGTGGGAGGCGGCGGCGGCGGCGCCTGCGTCTCCTTGGCGGCCAGCTCGTCCAGCACCGCCTCGCACTTCTCCTTTTCCTTCTCCTCGTCTACCACCAACAGGAAGCGGCGCCATCGGGACGAGTCGAAGCCCCAGTGGCACGTACGGTGCTCCGAATCGTGAGAGTGGCACACGAACCGCCGCGGACTGTACAACAAGCGACACACCAAACACTGCACTAGGTTCAAATCCGGGGCGCACACGCCGCGGGCGCCTCCGAAGCACTCGTGGTAGACGCGGAAGCCGGGCAGCTTGTGGGGGCTGGACGCGGCCGCTGCATGCAGGAGCGACGCGCACAGCCGCTCCGCATCCGTCTGCGTGATGAGCCCGCACGAGGGCGCCGACCGCGGCAGCACGCCCGTCGACTTCAGCTCGTGCAGCTGCTCGGGCGTGCACCGCGAGCAGTAGATCTGCAGCTCATCGCACACGCGGTTGATCTGCTCCAGGCTGAAGTCCGTGAGCACCGACGTGAGGATCTGCGGCAGGCACAGCCGCCGCTCGCCGCCCACGCTGAAGCACGAGATGGGCTCGCCCTCCAGCAGCGTCTCGCCGCGCTCGCCCAGCTCAGGGTCTGCCGCCAGCAGGATCGGAGGCGCGGCGGGCGCCGGCGGCGGCGGCGGCGGCGCTTCGCTACATGGCTCCGCTCGCCCGCAGCCCGGCCCTTGCAGGCTGCGCGGCGCGCTCGCTTGGTAAGTTTTCAGCACGGAGGTGATGTGAGGCGTCACTACATCCATGTTCGGTCACCCCCACCGACGACGGATCTCAAGGGGCGCATGTCACGGCGAGCCTACGCGCCGGCACGTGCGACGCGTTCCGATCGCGATCGAAACATGTCTGCCGAGTGTGCCCAGCCGTCGCGACGGCCCGGACGAACGCGCGGCGCTCCTTCGCGGCGTCTCCGCCCCGTCGCCGCTCGCACAGCCGTGCAAAAATAAGAAAATATCTGCTTCGTATCACAACACCGCCACAGTTTTGCACTAGATACTTCGGAAAGTTGTATTACTGAGACGTGTTCCATCGATATACAACCGATTCTAATTTAAAAAAGTTTCATTTATTTAGACGAAATAGCACGTAATAGATGCGGGCGCCAGAGACCGGGGCGTAGATTCCGGCGACCGGCCGTAGTCAAAGCAGCAGACGGATGGCTCGGCTACTGGAGAGTCTAGCCGGCGCCCCTCGTCCCTCGCCCACCGCCGTGTCACGTGACCGACCTTCCCGTCAAAATAATCCAGAATGGCGGCGCGAGTCGCGGCCACCCGCGACATAGAGTACAATACGCAGACTGTTAACTGTTTATTCATATGTAATAATCATACAAATCCACTTTATTTTTGCTCTAGAAAAAAAACAGGTGGACTAAGAATAATATTAAGAACTTAACTCTGAAGAGACATTCTATTAGACTCTAAACGTAATTTGTTTTTAAGCATAGTTTAAAACACATTACCATAATTTCTTTTATACATATTTTTATTCTCACAGAGATAATAGATAGGGTGTAATTATTTAAAACTTGATATGACTAACAACTGAAAATTGTAACAGATTAGTTTCGATGGATTTGACTAAATGTAATCTCAGTGCGGTATGGAACTGTAACTGTGGAACGGTCGGTACATAATTGCTAAGTTGATTCTTGTAATCTTTTTATCAATAGACAATGCATAATTCATAAATCCACAAGTTTCGGGAAAATAATTCTAATTGCCCGCCTCTTCCAACAAATAAGAACGCACCTTAAAAACGACGAGATGAGCGAAACGATATTACTACAAAGTAACTACTCGTAAATCGGCTAAATTTTAAACGTCGTCTAAGATTACGCTTACGAAATTTTATATTTGGACTTTTTAGGTAATATAGTAATTGTAGGAACTAAAATAATAGGAACTTCCGTTTTTATTTAAAATTAGTTAATAGTAGAGAAGAAAGAATCCAGAAAAACGTTTAATTTGTTTTTAGTTCTAACATCGATAAGTTGTAATTGTGCAATAATGTTTAAGAATAAAAATTATAAAATAGGTATTTTGGTAATCTTTTTAAATAATTTCTTGAAATATGAGTAATATGAAAAGGTTACATCGAAATACTACTTTTAAAATGTGTTACGTTCAGTCTTGGTGTTTTCTTTTTTTTTAATTCCAGTAGAGAAGATAATATGATTCTTATATTCAATCCCTTAATTATCAGGCTAGTTGCAAAGATAAGCTTGAATTGAGCCTAATATTTACTAATTGAAGGAAAATGCTAAAACGAGCGATTCTTGAAACACATCTTAGTAAAAAAAATCACTACAATTGTTACGATTTGGGAAAACAAATACCAAATCACCGATCATACATGTGTGTAAATAAACAAATAACCTATATTATTGTTGTCCTGTCTGTCATAATTTAGTTTTTGATACCGCGACACGCGCGGGGTAACCGCGGGCCGAAGGGGAAGCACCGCAGAACGCGGGACGGGGCAGCTGCGTCTACTGCGGCCGTTCTGTAAAACTGCTTTTATCGCAATTACTCGTCATACAAAATTCAACTTTAAAACCTATTGCTTTATGTACTTTTTAAAACTGTAAATTGCTAATTTTGTTGTAAGCAAAACGTAAATACATTTTAGGACTTTATTGCAAAGTAATAGAGGTGATTATGTTTTTGTGACTGTTGAAGTGGGCCTGTACAGCATCTACTAAAACAAAACTTGCTAGTGCTCGGCTTGGACTATTATTGTGCTATCGTCGGAATAGCTACCTATCTACAAGTAGTAGACTTACGTAGGTATTCTGTGAATTTCTGAGCTATATTCTGAGTTCACCTACAAAATCTACATTGATATATACCTAACTACAGAGTAGGTACTCTTATTAAGTTTAAGTACATACTTTGAATACCTTTCCTTTTGTTACTTGAAGAAATCCGCTCATGAGGACCCGTCAGCCCCGACTACCCCGAGGGAGGCGACTTTCTTTTTCACCTCCCAAGATATTGAGATGCCTATTTCCAGAGCTTTAGTGGCGCCTTAGCATTTGTTCGCGACTTAAAGTAGCGAAAGATTTATCAGCTGTATTAGAATTACTAATGTTAAACCTGAGAGTTTTTTCGATGGATGTTTGTAACTCGATTATACATTTTTTGGTAAATAAAGATTATATGGACCATGTATAAATTAGGCAAAATAGACGTAATGACAACTTTTTTAATTTGAGAGCTACCGGGGCCTTCGATGCGTTACATAAACCGTTAAACTAGAGTCTATATAGGTATATCTACAGAGTCGACACTAGTAGAAGTTAATTTATAAATATACATACGCAGACGAATTCGGGGCCGCAGCTAGTACTACGGGTATAGCTATATCACCCAATCTACATCACTGCTTAACATCTTTATACATAAATACAATTTAGATATCTGTATATTTTCAGGAATTTTTAACCTTTACTCTGCAATTTATCTTTTCAATTAAAAAATAATTAGGAAATATCTGAGAACTGAGAAGAGTTTTATATCAAAAAGTGATTTTTATTTTTATTTGTTTTTTGGCAAGTAGGATTTTAAAATTTGGATACGGCAACACTGGAGCAGAATTGCGTGTTAGGCAATAAGTGCAACGACTGTTTCGGTTATTATTGTTACATTTACGAAACAGTTATAAATTTGTTTCAAAATAACAGTTGCTGTATTCTAATACGATAGCATATTTTTATCTCTATAGGTAAAAAACAATAATACTGAAACTATAGTTGCGTTTTTAACTATAGTTCCATTATACTACACGAGTACTGTCAAGTCTATTTGCCCGAAATGTGTAAAGAAATTATTATTATCATTATTACTATATGCGGCATCATATCCTGAGTATAATTTCTTTCGGTTAAAGTTTCTAATTTAATATTATTTAGTAGTTAGTACCGCCTTTTGTAATCATAGAAAAGTTAGAATCCAGAAAGAATATTGATATGAAAATTAAGAAATAATATTATATAAGAGGCCTTATCATCATTACTACGTAATTCACCATATCTTTATACTTCACATAAAGTATTTTTTTCTTATACTTTAAAAGCCTTCACAGAAAAACATTAATACAAAATGTATATATGTAGTTTTAACTTGCAACTAGTTTCAGTATAAGTTCCCGTAACAGTTTTCGTTCTTAGTTTTTTTTATTATTGTGTTATCATGTCACATCCTTAACTTCATTCATTCGATTATTCCGATTCATTTTCATATCATTATTTTTCATAATCTGCTAATATAAACTTGTACGATTCTACAAACTATATAGAAATGTTAAATGGTTACTATTTGTAAAAAAAAACATTTTGTCAAGTGTCAACGTGAATATTAACATCGGGCGTATTGCCTCGCCATCAGGTAAATAAAAAAAAAGTATTTTCTAGTATCTAAAATTTTATATAATATCTGCTATAAAATAGAAATATTTTAAGTAAACCTAATCAAATGTAGCTCCAATAGTATTTCCTATGTTTGTGTGAAGTAAATTTCGGTTAGTTAAGATTTCTCTATGTTATTTTACAGGTATTGATGGATCCTTGGGGCGGTGAAGTGAAAACTGAAGTTATCTCAAAATTTGAGGATAATTTTGAACCTGTTCAAGACTCAGTGAAGCTGTCAGATTCTGCTGAATATCTCGCTATTTTGGGTAATAAGTTATCAATTATTGAATTGCTATGCGTATTATATTATTTTTTGTTGCGCAAAAGTGCAATAGAGTTAATTGCAGACATATTACCTTCAATTCACTGCTATTAAAAATTTACTTGTAAAATCGTATTATCGTAAACTTTGTGTTTTTTTCATATTCCAGAAAGAAAATTGAAACAAATCAAAAAGAAAAATAAGGTTGTGGAGAATCTTGCAGCTTACAGAGCTGACTGCATTGACCGTTTGATGAGAGAAGGCTGTGACTTGGATCCTGTCATTGGAGACACAGAAGAAGAGAAGCTACTCCAAGAATAACCTCATTAAACTTAAACATACTTTGTAAGTAATTATGGCCTCTTCAACTAATATTGATTTGTCTGCCTCCACATATTGTGTGTTAACAGGAGCTTCTCAGGGTATTGGCAGAGCGATTGCTGTCGAAGTCTCCAAACTCCTCGGCCCCAACTCTTTGATGTTGCTACTGGCACGCAATAAACAAGAATTGGAGAAAACTGCAAGTCTCTGCGAGTCTAATAATGTTAAAGTGCTATTTGAATCGGTCGACTTGTCCCAAGCGTCTAACCAGGAAATGAAGGATATCCTAGAAAAGTCTTTAGAAGGGAAGAATGTAGCAGATTTTGCATTAAATCTTATTTTTCACAATGTCGGTTCCCTTGGTAATTTAGCTGTGGAGACATCACGAATGGAGAATGTTGACGAGTTGAGGGAGTATTATGATCTGAATGTTTTTAAAGTTATCTCATTGAATACTCAGTTTCTTAAAATCTTCAAAGAGGTTGAAGACAGGATTGTAATTGTTAATGTAACTTCGTTGTGTGCCATTAAGCCAATGGGTGGTATGGCGTTCTACTGCAGTGGGAAGGCAGCGAGGGAGATGTATTTCAGAGTGCTCGCTGAGGAAAAAAAGCATGTCCGTGTACTGAATTATTCACCAGGTCCTGTAGAGACAGCCATGATTGACTATGTGCTGGCGGAAGCTGTGAATGATAATCTCAGGGATGTATTCACAACCTTCAAAAACCAGGGCACATTGTTAAAACCTGAAATAACAGCAAAGAAATGTATGAAGGTTCTGCAATCAGGCAAATTTACACCTGGGGAGCATGTTGATTATTTCGATGATGAATAACTTAGATTCCTACTCTCGTACTAGCTCTCTAAATATTTGTAGCTTTCTTACTGATAGTGTGTTAATTGCCAAATTTAATATATTATATTTATATAGAATTATATCTTCTAGTGTTATATATTTACAATGTCATAGGCATATTACTCGATACATTCCTTTTTAGTGAGTATAAATATGTTAAACTTCACATCTATTTTTCGAAGCCAAATTGTGGAACTTGTCATGAAACAAAAATTAATTAGCACAGACTCCAGATTATCATGCTGAAATCGCGCAATCTTTGTATGTATAATATGGTAATTAAAATTTTTCAACATTTTTCTTCTTAAAGTAATGTTAGTCATGTAGTATTGTTTCTTATTACCACTACTGGTTTGGATAAATATTATACTTGGATTCTACAAAACTAAAATATCAAATATTTACAAAAAATATTGTTATTTTTCTGTCTAACATTTGAATACACTTTGAGTGCTTTTTAAATATCTCTACAGAAATATTGTAAATTAGTGCAATATTTAATTGATTTTGAAAACTGACAGTTATTGAAATACTTAATGTTTATCGTACTTTAAACATAAAATGGCTTCTGTTTTTGTTATGACTAGCTTTAGATTAGATTTACATTGCGAGTTACAGTTACATTACATACGAGTTCTACAATTTAGTTGTGACATATAATTAATAACAAAACGTGTATGGCAATAACGTTTCAATGTATCTTAGGGATAAAATTAGGATCCTGTCTACAAATGTCTTAGTGGAAGTCGATTCGCTCATAACATTAACAGTAGATCCTAATTAAGTACCACATAATCTGCATAACATATCTATGAATGCAATTCATATTAATAAATGCTTGAACTAATCTGTGTTTTCAATGATTAATCCCTCTTACTTAGCACTAATATGAGTTACATTCATAAGTCACACATTAACATGGCTTATCTGTGTCAACTTGTCCCTCTTTGTTTTTTTTAATGCATGAATACGCTGTCAAGGCACCAGGATAGGATGAGCATGAAGTCATCTCAGTCATCATGTCAGTGGGCTACATCGGGATAAATTCAGCAGTTATTGACCGCGACAGTGTCTAGAAGGGACTGCGGAGAGGTCGACCTGATGTCACTGGTCCCCATTACTAATGAATCTTTGACCTACTCTTTAATTTTGTAGTTGATCCAAATTGATCGGGGTACCTCGAAAAAACCAAGGTCATTGGAATGAATTAAGTGCCTGTCATCTACTGACTGATTGAATGACTAATAAATATTCAATTACCTTGACAAACTTTCACATTTGTATGTATACAAGGTTACCATTACATTCGTTAGTACCACGTACGTAGTACTAACGTAGTACGTAGTAATAAAATGCACCGAAGTTTGCCATATCTTCAACAATTCTTCTACCAAGAGATTAAGAAGATATCGTGTAACGTAATTTCAAACTATGAACCCTATACCCTACACTAAAAGAATTCTGAATTATAAATATTCCAATATACAGTCTCAGTCGTAATAGGCATTAGAACAAACCGAAACCCTGTGATAGTAACTATTCATAATATTCGACAACTCTTCTCAAGAAGCAAGAGAATACCAAAAATAGCTCCCGGTCTAAACTGATCACGTGACAGTTAGTATAAAATATAAGAAAGATATACAATTTATTTTCGGATTTCCATTTTGCTTCTTGGTAGAGAAAACTGTTCCATATCATCCTAAAACGATTAGTTGATTTTTGGCATGATTTTTATATGAAACACTTAAAACGATCACAAACCTAATATGCTCATTGATATCTCATTCATTCTCATTGATATTCTCTTTATTTAGATCGATGATGATTGACTTGTGGTTGATACTGGATATTTTTCGATACACACTAGGAAACAAAAGAAAAACGAAAAGGATGCGGGGAAAATCAGATCACTTAGCAAGTTGCAGGCAAATAGTTCAGGAGGAATTCACCGCGATTGTTATCGACCCTATAGATATGAACCTGGCAGGATACATTGCTAGCTATAATTCCAAAAAGAAGGAGGTTTTTAATTCTTCCTTTTTTCTGTGTAAACTCAGAATATTTTTATGCGTCAACCGATTTTAATTATTCCTGACTTTTCCATCTAAAGGCCACAATCCGACTAGTAGTTTTTAATTAATCTTTATACGATTGATGTCGGTTTTCCGTTCGTGGCCTGAACACGTATATAATTATCGTGAAAGATAAAACGTGTAGCTGCGTTATCAGGCAACCAGATTTGGCTAGGCAGGGAGAAATCAAGAGAGATTAAACCTACACACGGGTCTCACGTGCAGGGAACTGCTAGGAGTTTTCCTCTCTGCCACAGGCGCACGGTGAATCCACGTAATGCTAAGATGTTCCTCTTCGGCTCGTCTTCTTTGTAAGCGAAAAATACGGTTTAACATATTACAATCGGATCATTGAGATATTTGTGTCACCATCCTTTTCCTGATCAAATAGTATGGTGCATCTGCCTGCACTAACAATATGGGTAGGCGAGAAATTAGTAGAGGATGAAGATGAAATAAACATAGATATTCCATCCTTGCAAATTCATCATGGTAATTTCCAAGGCCATGCTTCGAAGTCGATCTGATAGCTGAATACTAACAATCCCCTTCCTCACTCAAGACAAAATAACAAAATGTTAGAGTTATAACAGTTAAATGAATCTTCATTGCACTATCCCACTTTATATGGGGTCGGTTCTCTTAATTTTGCGGTCCTGGGTTGTTGGGTTGGCCAATCATCCATCCCTTTTCGATGAGATTTTTCATGCTGACCTACCAGGTAGCTGGATGACGTCCTCTACCTCGTTCGGGTAGTTGTAAAGCAGTTGAATAAATGGCTGTTTATTTATTATTTTAAGGTATAATGCGAATATGGCGGCTAATCGCAAGAGCCTGTTCATATTCCTCATGGGTCTCGCATGGAAGTGTAGACTCAGCATGCCGCTGTTGTTGAGCGGTACCGTCGCCATCCTGGGCCGCGCTTGGATGTTCCAGATACAAGTGCGTACCGTCCAGAGACTGCACGAGACTGAGGTATTTTATTACAGTCTCCATTATGGGACCATCTGTAAAAATATGTCACTTGAATTTCATGGTATTTTGATCTCTACCGTGCTTGTCATAGCTAATCATTTTTTGATCTGTGTTTGTATCACTCCTCCCTTCCCTAGTGTGACATCACATATTAGGAATTTTAAACTTAGATATGATTAAATTAAAACCGTGTATATTAATAATTACACTAACTGACCCGGCAAACTTTGTTTTGTCAATTAAAAATAGGGGATGCTAGCAGAAGGTTAAAAGTTTATGTATTTTTAATGCCACATCATAAAACAATAAAAATATTGTCTAAAAATACAAAAATAATTTTGGTGTGAGCCACCCTTATCACTTAAGGGTATAAAAATAGTGCCAACCGAGTATACATATAAAATTTCATAAAAATCGGTGAAGACGTTTCGGAAATTTATGACAACTGTGACACGAGAATTTTATATATTATGTTAGAAGGAGATACCTATATCAGATTTAAAATGTGGTGTAACGAAATTAAGATCCCCACCCACACCTTGTGACACTTGTGTCATAATGTCACACTTTATCGATACTTCCTTCCCTTAACGTGTGACATAATTTATAGATGGCCCCTACATAAGCTCTGTATAAAATCGTCTGCGTGTGTTATCCACCTGTTTCAGCCGTCGAGCTGCTTGCTTTGTAAGATGTGTTTTGGTTGAAGGGTGAGGAAAAGCAGTGAAATTTCAGGGCACGGAGACATGTCATCTTAGTCCTTCGTAATGATAATGCATGAGTACCACGGGTATCACATGATATCGTAATGCCTGTTGTTACCATTTACCATCAGCTTTGACGTTTCACTTGTAAAAAAGTTGCCTTTAAAAAATATTTCAAGAACACAGTTGTGATGATAGGAATATATATGAAATAGACATTGCTGGATTTAAACTAAAATAACATAATATTGAAAGCTTTGAATCTTCAAAGAATAATGTTATTATATGTGATGTGTATGTATTACTATATGAATTATGCTTTTGTGCAACAATTTTACAACAAAAACGATATATTATTAAAGAATATTATATAAATTAATTATGGTTTTCGGAAATTATTTTAAAACCCATGACATTAGCGATGTAGACTAACATATTAAAAAAAGAAAAACATATCACTTGTAAATCTATGGACAAAATGGACGACTGTTGTAACATAACAATATAAAAAATAAAATAATATTACATTTAATGTTTTCAATGTCTCTAGCTCGCGTATTACGACGATGATGAAGAGCCGGAGGATGACGAGGGTTCCTGGGAAACTGAGTCCACCGACTCTTGGGAAACCATCGTGGAAGAAGTCGCATATGGGTAATATCGAGTTTTTTTGACGGAAAAACTAAAATGGATACCAAACCATATACTATGTATACAATTTTATTATCATACAATGTATAAAATATATCTTTACAGTGTGTCGACAAGAAATTTAAATTGTGAAAATTACTATATGTCGTTCAGAATCGCAGACAGATTCACGTTTATAATATGGAAAAAATATATAAAGTGTTTTATAGAGAACATTCTTGATTAAAATGTAGTGATTATTTGCTCAATATCAGGTCAGGTATATATACTTGATCTTGGTATTAGTTACTCTATGAATTTTTTAATATTAAAAGCATACTGTTAGAAGTTTGGCTTATTCAAATTTAAGTTACTTATTTAGTGCTTAATTATATACATATATCTACGAGTAAGTACCTATGAAATTCCTTCCATAGTGAAAATATATCGTTTTTTTTTATTAAATAAGGCAAATGCATAAATGTATAATTTTCATATGTGACCTATTAATCCTATCTGTATAGGATAAACATAGATTTATAAACATTTTTGAGCCTTATTGATTTGTGACAATAGTTTATCAATAAATCGTTAGAGCTATTTGTCAACGTATTACAAAGCAAATTGTTTTAATAAACATAATGAAATCTGCGTGATAGACAGTAATTTTGTGACCTATTTATGTGCTGTGATGTACTTGTACATTCGAATGCAATAAAATGTAAACACTAGTATAATTATTGTAACAGTACTCTGTAAAATGTTTGGAATTGTAAATTATCGACAATTCTAAGAATTTTACAGAATATTGCGGTCTGTACTGGACTGTACTGGACATCTACATTAATATGTTATCAATAGACACTATTCCATATGACTTTTAATGACTGAAAAAACTGTACAATACAATATATTTAGAGCAGCATACACAATTTTGATAATTCGGCCAATATTTATGTACATTATTGATGTACCTATATTTTATGTTTTATATAAATGTTTAAGTGCAAGGTACTTATGCAATGCATTCCATACATTTTCACTATCGTCTTAGTGTAGCGTCGCAATGACTGCAAACAGTCAATAAAAAAATTACATACACTAGGTTTATAACCGGTGTGCTGTTTACACACCATGTCACATGTTAAGCTGAGTTACAAGTTAATTAATTTGTTATTTTATTTAGTTTAAGTCGATTGGTTTTTCGATTAGTGACGTCGTTAAGCGAAATATGATGGAAGAAGTAGAAGCAGGAGTTGATCTGCAGCTGCTCCATCTACTGATCTGGAGGGCTCTCTGCACTAGCCCACATTTTCGTCCTGTGAAGCTGTAAAGGCCAGCCAACAGCATTAGAATAGTTAAAAAGTATGAAAATATTTGTCTATGGGACATTTTAATAGGATGTTACCATATTTATTATTATAATATAATAATAAAGTTATTAACACCATTTAAAATTTTAGTATGCAGGATTAGAATAGACTCAATATTACAAATATTTAATACATACAATACATTTTCATGTTTATAAGCAATAGTAGATACATTTTAATATACATTAGGGGTCAGCCATAAATGATGTCACATGTTAAGGTTACAGGAGCTCGATAAAGTGTGACATATAGGACAAAGAGTGGAGTCATAAATTTAGTGATGTGAATTCTAAATTTTATTAAAACATATTTTAATTTGAAGTAAAACTAATTATGGTACTGCTTTTCTGTTTTTTTTTTATAATTAATGTTGTAAATTTGTAACATCATACTAGTCGGGGGAAGTCTTACAAATGTGACAAAGGCGAGAAGATCCTCGTCTTTGGAGATTTCAAGATAGTAGTCTTGAAATCCTTGTGACGTTATTTATCGTTGGCACTTCACTTAGAGCACAGATAATATTACATACTTAAATCTCTGTTGTCAAATTATGGATCCAATCTTCCTTGTATACTATAGCGTTTTATAAATTTTAATATACAAATTATTGTTGAAATGTATTGTTATTATTCTAGTATTTGTAGTTTTAATTTTCCAGTTTTCGGATAGGACTATTACATTCGTAAATTATTTGAAATAGAATCACACATATAAAAGTCTGAAGTCTCAAATAAACACTTAACAATATGATAACATATGACTTATATGTTTTGTATTCAATGAAAAAGTTTTAACCGAAGATTGAAATATTGCTTTATTATCGATGCGTTGTTTTGCAACGGCATGAAATTAATATTGTAATTTCACAGTTATTCTCCGAATCTGTAATTATACCAAAATTACAACTGTAATTTTAGCGTTATTCTCTAAATTGTATCTGTTGACCACCAAAATTAAAATTTCCAAAACACAAGTGTAACTGTTGCTTATCTTACTATTATAATTGTACTGTTAATCGCCAAAATTATAATTGTAATTTTAGTGTTGTTCAACAAATTGCATCTGTAACTATTGTTTACGTAATTTAAAACTAAAATTGTTCTGTTGATTACCAAAATTACAACTATAATATTACTATTCCTATTTGCACAGGATCGTTAAATAGGTATATTTGTCCCACTAAATAAACAACCACAATAAGCAAGTTGATCGATCAGCTTAATATGAATATTGATCAATTGCTACTAACCGACTCTACTGATCATGTGTATAATGGCAACACTAATGTTATGACCTTCATTTTTTATAGCAACACTTACATTAATGGTTTCGAAATAAAAATTTATTCTTAAGTTACTTGGGCTGTGTGTTAGAATAACGATTTAAATCATAAATAAATAGAAACACTTAAATAAGTTTTTTATTACATAGTAATAATATTATAAACATTCCAATACATACAACAAATTTAATAATTTATAAAGGGTATTAAAAAATTCATTTTGCCTATAACAAGTTTTATTTTAACTTTAAATGTTTATATTATTATTTTGGCGGAATTTATTTTTTATTATCTGTAATGACATTTATATATTGCAATAAGAAAAATATAGGTGACCGACCCAGCTTAAAATCGTAACAGTAGCCCATATAGGCTACCGTCTGTTTATGTATGTTTCTATATAGATAAACAGTATCGCGGTCATTACGATTACGCCATTTTGTAACAATTTGGCGGCAAAGTTTCGCAGTATCTGTAGTAAATCGTTACTCTATTATATTGTACTACATTTTTTTTACATGATTATTTATTTATTTACAAGAGTACAGGAAAGAGTCTATACTCTACAAAACTCGTTTTCTTGAATATCATTGACGATAACCATTTTTCATACGAGGAAGGGATTAGTAGTAATCGGTCAAGAAGTCACGTTTTAATAAATATATATATATGTTATGCAAAAAATGAAACTCGGGTACATATTTTTGTTAATTGTCAATTTATTTAATTTCATCACCAATTTAATTAATTGTGGATCATAATTTGATATCACCACTGCCACTCCTCGGTGTAGTCCTGTTCCATCGGGAAATGTCTCCTGTTAATTAATAAATATCTATAATAGGTTTTAATCATTCACAGAAAATAATTATCTTAAGATTACGAATACCAAATATAAATATACAGCTCAAAAATTGTATTTAAAGAAATCTCTGTATAATAATTATTATATTATACAAACTAATTTTTTCGTTTGCTATTTTAAAGCGCAGTGATTACTACTTCAATGTATACATACATTACATGAAAATAGAAATTATTTTTCATTTATTGCAGCAACAGTCGACATAATGTAACTAAAATTAAAATTATAATGTAAAAAACTTGACGTTTATAAGCGGCTAAAATGTCCTACATGAATAAATGATTTTTGTATTTCAACTTGAAACTACATCTTATAATGTGGTTGTTACAAATATTTTATGAGAACTTACCTCCGTGCTGTTGGAGTACCTGGAGAGGCGGGGCCGGTACGTCGTGGCGGGGTTCGAGTCCTGGGCGAGCCAGGCTGCCGCCGAGCCACCTCGCCCAGCAATGATAGGCACGATTGTGAGAGGCGTTGACTGAAATTCTATCAAAACAATAGCTATTTGGCTGCTTGATACAATTCCTATGTATATAAAAAGCAAATGTTAAAAAAATGATACCAAACTGCTCTTTTGGATCTAAAGATGACTGTATAGTATTGTACCTTTGCCTATCCACTTGTGAATAAAATATACTACTACTTCTATACTGGTCTTTTGGTTGATTACTCTGTCCCAGCCCGTCGATACTCCTTACACAAATGAAAAACAAAACTGCGGAATTTGCGGCTAATTTCTTGACATAAAATTTTAAATCTAACTTTAAAGAATCAAAGTAGATTTGTTTTTAACCAATGTGCACAAAATTTGCTTCAATTCCATGTAAAGGTAATATGTATGCTAGTCTGCAAGGCATATATGTATTATATAGCCATAAAGTTGAAATAAATAAATAAAGAATAAACTTATATATTATATAAGTCATAAAGATACTAGAAATAAATATGGAATAAACTAACCGGTAGACAGGGACCTTTCATCTCACGCAAGTCTATCTTTCTGAACAGTTCACACAACACCAACTCGTGCAGACTCGGAGTACGGACACCAAATATCAGCTCTATTATCTCCACAACCTGGACGAACAAAACATTAAAAAACAATAACTTTTTGTATTTAGGATCCAACATTATTTATTAGCAAGCAAAAGTATAATCAAAATAATATCATCACATTTATAGAAGTTAATAAAATAATATTCAAATTACATTAAGTCTCGGTGGTCTAGCTTTAGCACAGCGCTTAACTTCCGATGGTCGCGGGTTCGATTTCTCGCAAGGTACAACCATTTGTATTCATGAATATGATTGTTTGCATTGATTTGCGTGTTTTCTATAAATTATGTGCGTATTTATAATAAAACGTATTTATGTATTTATATCAGTTGTCTAGTATCTATATCACAAGCTTTGATTAGCCTGTGCTGTATGAATTGTTCTGAGATATTATTATGATAACAAGTATAGCTGTGCCAGAGGTATCACCGGCGTGTTATTCTGATGTATAAGCTATATTATTGTAAAGTTTCATCAAAATCCATTCCGTAATTTTTGCGTGAAAGAGTAACAAACATCCACCCACATTCAAAAACTTCCGCGTTAATAATATTAGTAACCAATATAACGACATACATATACTTACATGTGGATAACTTGGTAACAGGTCCGGTAGTAATGAGATGTCTAATTCTGCGCCTGCGCACATTTCGAACAGCACGTGACCGAGTGACAGAGTTTCCACGTGCTCGAGCGGAGCGGCCAGTGCCAACGGACATCGAGGGAGTGCTCCAATCAGAGTGTTCTCCAAACCACATATCCTGAAGACAAATGTTATTCTAAACATTTATATAAAAAATAGATTTGTTTGTTATATTTTGTCAGGTCTTCTCATCTCGAAATCTTTTCGAACTGACGGTATATTTGACATATCATAAGAGTCTGTAACAGACCTATATGAATAAAGATATCTTGAATCAGAATCTATCGAGGTGAATTTGTCACTTTGGGATATTTAATCTATTTTCATATTCATCCTATCATCCTCCACTAACGTCGTGCCTGCCTGGATTGTTATTGCAGGCGGATGCACCATTTCATTTGATCACGAAAATATCTCAAAGATGCGATTGTAAAGTGTTAACCTCAATTATCGCTTAATAGTGATGAGACAAACTTAGCATTCCATGGAATAACCATGCGGATGCCGGATCCATCGTGTAGCAGAGAGGAAAACTCCGAGCAGTTCCCGGGACTTGTGCCTCTACTCTATTCAATGCCCCATAATGCTAAGTCCTAGGTGAAACACGTGTCGCAACATGGGTGAAGAGTGAAGACTCAATAACGAACGGAATTTGATCAGCAATAGAGTAGGTTGTAATGCTTCCAGCAGTGGTGGTCAGTTTTTCGCACTGAATATTTGTGGTCTAAATATATAAATAATATAAATATATTAAGTAAAGAAATACAACATACCTACCTACATATCAACAATACATCTGCCGAGTTAAGTGCAGAATAGAAAACATGCAACTAACCTTGCCACCCCGTTCTGTACGACCACATTGCCAGAATGCAAGTGGCGGAATGGCGGGAACCCCTTCTCCTTAAGAAACATCAGACCCTCGAGCATCTGTCGGCCGAACCTGGCCACTTGCCACGCTGGTAGACCGGTGCCCGTTGAGCTGTATTTACGGGAATATTCCTCATTCCAGGTACTCTGTCGATGGCAAATTAATAATAATATTTCAGGACAATTTAACGCCATCTAGTCCCAAGCTAAGAGCTTGTGTTATGGGTACTTGACAACTGATACAAATATAAAGATTTTTTGTAAATATATACAGAATATGTATAGAAAACATCCAAAACGATATAAACAATTATACTCACAAATGCAAATGTGTCGTGCGAGGAATCGAACCCGCGACTAAGGGAAGTAAGGCGGCGTGGTCTAGCTGTTTACACCTAGACCACCGAGGCCGTCATTCTACAAATTTAACAGTCGTCAATTATACTGATATTATAAATACAGTAATATAAACTTAAATTTAAGTACTTTCAATAGTCATACTTATTTTTTGTAGTCTATTGCTCATTCAGAAAGCTCTCATTAAAAAATGAACGAACTTTATATTTTTAAATTAAAATAATTTTAAATTATAGTATAAAAAATAAAAAAAAAATTAACTATGTGAATATAGACTCCCAAACAGCACTAATGAATTAAATAATAACACAATAATTATGTCTTTGCTCTGTATTCAGATATCCGCCATTTTGCACTGTTGATTATTACAAAATGGCGGTAAAGCACGCACCTTGTAAATTAGATCTCTCAAACTGCCACGAGCATTGAAAGGCAAGACTGCGAGAGCGTGACCATTACACAGTTCCAAATCAAGTACTGGACAGATATATGGATGGTGCAGAGCCCGAAATAACTCCATAATGAGACCTCTGGACCTCTCGTTCGGTTCGATGGGGCACTTGTTTGTTAGAGGCATCTGAAAGCAAACCTAATATACATAACATACCTAGTTTAGAGAGCAACGCTAGGCAAAAGCACAGATAACATAATTATACATAATGGAAGCATGACTTATGTCTACAACGAAAAAAAATCCGTTATGCCCTACTATAGTATTAAGTCATTAATTAACTACCCTGAATCACATCTAAGAGATAGTCAATTGTAATCTGGGCGATATAAAACAATAATAATATTATATTTCTGTTTAACTCTCGAGTGAAAGAAATATCAAACATTAAAATATGCCTTCCTTCATTCCTTACCAACGTGAGAAGTCTATCAGTTTTGATGGAATTGTCGTGTATTGCAAACCAATGCTTGTTTGCCCGGGAACCGATAGCGCTCAATTGTGAGAGCAAGTCATATCTGGAAAGTATAAAAAAATACAGTGAAACCTATTTTATGCTGGGGGGAAAGGGGATTGTTAGTAATATGAACTAATAGCTCTACATTGCCAGCAATGTACCTTGTCAGGTTGACATCCACGCCTGAAACCATCGTGATAAATTACTGGTGAATTTGTCACGATGGGCTAACTGACCTGACCTCATGCTCATCTTGTCATCCTCCACTGGTGCCCCGCCAGCGTAAACCGTTAGCGTAGGCGGGTGCATCATTCCATTATAATACAAAAAAAACCTATTTTATGCCATATCTGATATACGCGACAACGTCGCCCAATGCACGTTCTTATTGACCCCATGACGATAGTTAATGCCCTATGGGTCCACCCGTTCCGTCCTTTCTTGCTGGCGAAGACTGCGACCTCAACCACACCATACGCGCAATCAACCCGGCGCCTGTGAGCGCCCGGGCGTTCCACACTGGCGTCTCCGGTTGCCCCTCCGATCGATCCTTCGTCCAATTTAAACGGGGATCGAAATTACGACGGCCTGAGTCGAGATTCGAACCCCTAGCGGTGCTCTCAGACTAAAGTCATATCCGTCAGGCGAGAATTGGGCTTCGGCCAATCCATAAACCCTTCTTCCGGTTTGGAGTGCCATCTGCACTCGCCCCTATCGTCCGGTGAAGCTGTAAAGACCAGCTGCGGCCAACAGCATTAGAGTAGTCTGAAAAAAACCTATTTTATGCAGTGTTGATCGTTTAGTCGCACTTTGGTCGCCGAACAGTCAGCACTAGGCTTCACCTATCCGAGCTCTATTCAATGGTTGATGACGTGTCGTTCAGAGACGAGACACGTGTCGAAATATGGGTGTAGATCCAATAACGGTCGGAATTTGTTCACCTATAGAGAAGGTAGTACCTAAAAGGTAGGACCTTCCAGTAATAGTGGTCAGGTTTCCGCACTGGATATTTGTGATCTCAGACATGCTAATCGTAGTGGAATTAAACACAATACTTATTATGAAAATATGTTGCATATATGATTAGTTACGTATTATATAATAATATAATATTGCACTTGCCTGGACGTCTGTGACAAATATTCAGTGCAGATTGCTAGAGCAGCGGAGCTTTCCATGGAACGATCACCGACTCTGTTAAAAATAACAGTTTTTATAATTGATTTAAGCATGTAAATACCAAGTTTAACAAGTTGGTTCTGTATATAATCATCATCATCATCATCGCAGCCCGGAAGACGTCCACTGCTGGACATAGGCCTCCACCAAAGATCTTCACGACGATCGGTCCTGCGCTACTCGCATCCAATGCCTTCCAGCGATTTATATACTGTTCCAGTATTTAATATACTGACTATATATTTTTTTATTTATTTATCGAGGGTTTTGGGCTATTGTCAGGTTCTACAACCTGCATAGATCCATTTGGTAGCTTGTGTAAAAATAACAATCCAATGGTAGCAACCCAGCTGGTTGTTATTTTTCTATTACATGATATATCATTTAGGTACATAAAAAATACAATTGGAGTAGGTAGTTGTAGATTTCCAAATCTGAAGCACAAGCATAATATTAATGTAAAAAGGTAAAAAAAATCCGTCACCTGGGCGATGCTTGTGGTTCAGAAGGTGAAGATTTACCAGACGCGGTGCCTATCAGCGACTTGTTGAACAGTAATTTCGCTAATGAGTCTATTTTCTGCGCCACTAGAGGAGTACGTTCGGAATTCTCTTCTAAAATATAAATGAACATAAATTATAGTTACCTGTACTAATGTAATAGGAAATAACAGATTTTTGTACGTGTAAAAATAAAAGTAAAACGTTTTGTCAGTCGTAGAAAAAAATCCTATAAACTTAATTTTATATTTATTACATACCTATACTTTATTTTCTTGGTAAAATCAAAGTCTACGTAGGTGACGTGTAAGATTTTTTTTTAATTGATTAATATAAAGCAATACAAAATACGTAAGTATATAACCCTAAGTTTTCAGCATTCTTCCATCAATCCCTATTTTTATTAGAAATATTAATTAAATAACGTTTGCTGGGTTACCTAGTATAATACATACATATGTAAGTACGAAATAAAACAAATAATTGACAGAAATATATATAGAAAGTAGGTACTTGAACTACAAGCGCACGATGATCCTTCAGCATCATCCTGTTTCGCAGCGTCTTCCGTTAGCAACAAAACAAAATTAACGTATTAGCAGATAACGTAATTTAAAGCCCACAATGAGGTAAAGACCATCGTACGCTGATATTACTACAAAGAAACAAAACAAGAAAGAAAGGTATATACGGAAAGAAGAAAGCATAGAAAAAAGCAGCAGTAATAAAAAGAAGGAATTTTGCAACGAATATAACTTTTTATAGCTTAGGGGACAAACGAGCTTGCGGCTCACCTGATGGTAAGTGATTACCGCCGCCCATTAGTACCCGCAACACCAAGGGAATTGCAATTGTGTTGCCGACCTTTTAAAAAGGAATAAACTCCTTTTTTGCAGGTTTCATATCGAACCGATAGGTTTGGAAATACCTTTAATCTATTTTTTTCTGCTCAAGTTACATTGCGCGTATTTGTAATGAATAGAATTTTAATTTAATTAATTGTAAACTAATTTGAACTTATAATAATGCTGTGGACACTCTATGAATAACATTTATAAAATAATCATGAGGAAAACTCATAGACATTTTTTTTAAATAATTAAAGCGCATAAGCACCTTCACTTTCATCCCTGTCTGTGGAAACAGAGCGTATTCTGAAAGCGTTCCTTCTGTTCGCTGCTGCAATAGAATCAGGGTTCAGTTCAGCAGCCGATTGAGCCCTCCTGCAGGCACCGCGTCTCTTCTTCTTCCTGTAGCTGGTCCTCGGACGCTCCTGATAAAACCTGTCGTGACCTGTCGTCTCCGGTTCCTTTTGTTCTTTACCCTCATTATTTGCTTTCATGTGTTGATATAGATTAAACATTTTCACTGATTTGTTTAAAAACAATTTGAATCGACGTAGACTGTTTCTCATTAATTTCCGTTAATTTTTATAACACAATAAGTAGCATTAAAAAAAATATATTTATGGTTGGATTTTTTTTTTATTTTTAATCTTATATCTTTTTAATTCTAAGTTATGGGTCTAGCGACACATGTGTCAAGTGTGTCGCAATTTTTCCACTAAACTATGTCAATATGACTAATGGAAGACCTACAAGTGGGGTATTAGTGGGGCTATGGACACAACACCCCTTATTATAGTACGTAGCTATGTACTTGTTTATGATGTACAACTAATGTATTTAATCCAATACCAGCTTACTGTAGTCTACCTCGATATTTAATCACGTGTAATATAATTTGATATACGATACCATTCTATTAAATTTCTTGATGTTGAGAATGCATCATAATTTTATATAACTATAACGTGTCGAAGAAAGGGGATTCTTAGTAATATGGATTAATAACTATATTGTTAGCAATGTACCATTTTAGGTTGACCTCCACGCGGTTCACCGGGTCCTGGCTGGAACCATCATGGAAAGTTGCTGTTTGCCTAGATGGGCTAACTGAACAGACTTCATGGTTAGGTGATCATCCTCCGCTGGTATCCTGTCAGTACAAACCGTTAGAGGAGTCGGATGAACCATTCCATTATCCAAAAATCACCTGGTGGTAAGTGGGATCCGTTGCCTACCTACATGAAGAATATTCTATATTTTGTATTCCTTTATGAACATTAATTATTCTTCTCCTACTTATTTATTGGATGATTATTATTTACTTATCAATCTTTCCTGCCTTCATTATTGATTATTATTTACTTATCAATCTTTCCTGCCTTCATTATTATTTTATTTCTGGCAGTTCTACGCGGGCTATTATTAAAACAACTATGGTTAATTCCTGAAGAATTTGGATTGGGTTCCAGATGATCAAAATTTAATCTCATCTTGCCATGTACTCCGCCGTATCATTAACCTAAATATCATCACCTATTTTTAATGAAAAAAGCTAAATAAAACGTCATAATTATAAAAACAAAATCTTTAATAACATATCTACAACAGCATCTTATGTTAGTTACAAATAAAAGGCCCCTATAAAAAATATATATATTTATATAACAAGACGTGGTATCACGTTGTACCTACACGAACGTACAAAAGACGATCACGCCTGCCGGACTGGGAATAGATCAATATGTTATTGAAAATTAGGTATTTATTTACTAAGCTGAAAATAAAAAAATGTCAAAGATATACAGCATTTTTTAATTGTCTGCTCAAAATTAAAAAAATAATAGTATTATTACTGAGACAGAAATAAAAAATGTCAAAGATATACAGCATTTTTTAACTTCCGTAATATAGTGTCAAAGTGAATATATCAAGTTTATATACAGCTCAAAAATAAAAAAAAAAATATAAAACTATCCACTAATTTCTTATATTATATTAGGTTGTCGTGCGAAAATGGTTGACCATGTAATTTCAAATTGCTTTAGAATTAATTTTGTATTAAGAATTCAACTATAATAACATTTTCGATCTATTAACAATCCCGCATAACATTAAAAAAACGGCAACTAACTAGGAACATAAAACCTTCGAATGCTGTCGTTCATCTATTAAATAGAAAATATAATCAATTCCATCTGTATATCAATAATAATAAAATTATAAAAATAAACAAAATATTTCATATAAAAAGTTTTGTGAGAAACAAGAAACCATTCCGTTTATAAAGAATCATAATAATTGGTTAACAATTTGCGAAGTTATCGCTTTATATACACACACAACGATTATGGTCAAAGTACATTTTTAAAGTCGGTTTGAAGAGAATTAAAAACGTCATGAAATTCTATAGAATTATAGTAAGAATAATTCAAGCTTATGCTTACAAATTATTCTTACTGTAATTATCCATCGTATGCCGCCTTTACTAAGAATAATAAAACATTACCGCAATTTTAATTTCAATCACAACATCATATCTGTTATACGTATAATGAGTAAATCACTAGATCTTACACATTTTATTTTTATTGAGTTCCCGATATTTGGAGTGTTTCCACTGCCATGATCATGAGTAAAACGTGGTGAGATTCCATGATTTACTAATTATACGTAAAAATAATGAACACGTCAAATCATATCTGTTGACTAGATTTTAAAAAACTAATTTTGTAATATGTTGGTGTTTGCAATGCGTTTGGGACAGCCCTGGTTATGTCGTTCATAGGCTACGGTAACCGTTCATAAGACCGTATGCTTGTTTACCATCATTATAATATAAAAATATATACATGTATGAAGATGCTGTAGGGTTAGTGATAAAGGTAGGCCCAAGTGAATAAATGATTTAGTGACTTTGACATACCAGAAATGACAAGAGATCACGACATTGCAATTCTTAGCAAGGACGTAAGTACTCATTCACATAAGAAAAGTAATATTGGTCTGTTGATTTTATTTTAAATCAAAAACATAGGTAATTAATAATTTTCTAAAGTTTCAAATATTCTCAGCTGAAAATTTAGATTTTATTTGAGTAAAAATCACATTTCATTACTCGAACACCCAACAAACAATGTTTTAACTTATTAAAATAGCATTTTTATATTTTGTCAGTTTAATTTTAACCTGCTATTAAAGCAGATATTGCGAAAAGAAGTAATAGAAAAAACTCGCATTACGCGAAAGACAAATAAAAAGAAGTAACAAAAAAAACTCTTTTTACAAGAGAGTCAAATATTTTCTGTTCTGTTTGTCATGAGACAAATACAACTCACATTATAAATTTATCGAAAATTTGTCTCTTTAAAAACGCACAACACAAAAATACATCAAAGTACAAACAAGAAAAATCATAAGTATAAAAATAAACTACCCTTTTTATTAAAGCGTAAAAAATTGGAATCATTGTAAGCAATAAATAAAAAAGCAATTATATTTTATCGAATTATTTTATAATTTCACTACTTAATAGATTTATATTATTTTATTTAATTCCGCTACAATTAGCTGGTGCAAGATCACAAATATTCAGTGCGAAACTTGACTACCGTTACGACCTTCTCTAATGGTGATCAAATTCCTTCATTCTCTAATGGTGAAAAAATTATTGAGTCTACCCATATTGCGATAGTTTCGCTACTGAACAAGGCATCATAGTTTGGAAGCCTAGTATGACTTTCCAAATAATATAAATCCATTAAGTAGTAGAAAACTAATAAACAATATGCATTTTTTTAAATTCTGAATCGTATTTAGAAAATCTATCAATTATATTTGGCACATTGTCATTCTACGAATTAATTCAGAATATTGAGTATGTTAATAATACAAGATCTAAAAATAGATATAAATATAGAAATATTGTTATAACAATAATGTTATACAAACAAAATTACATTTATCAACAATTTCATGTATCGTATAAATGAATTTGGACATTTTGACGAGGTGATTTATTGTTACTCGAAGAAAATTATATTTAGTAAAAAAAAAGGCATCTTTAGAGATGCGCCATTAGAAATCCTATTTGTTATAATGCTCTATATGTTACATTCACCTTTTTTCTCTATTTTATTAGCCATGTTATGACATATAATATTTTTTTAAATAATATAGTATAATAGCTTCCAACTTTGTTCCATCCTTCATCATTGTGTGATATTTATTTAGATTTGTAGCTTGAGTGACACCCATTTACAGACAATCAATAATTATCACAGATAATAAATTTAGTTACTTCGAATTCATAGCTTCGTTATTTATATTCGTTTATTTTTTATACTATACAACTAATCATATTTTAAGAAATATTATATAAAATCAAAGATTTGTCCGTAAAATAAAAAAAAATGTTAGGGATGGACTACCCATATTAGGGGTATGAAAAATAGATAGTAGCAGATTCTCAGACCTACTGAATATGCATATAGAATTTCATAAAAATCGGTCAAGCCGTTTCGGAGGAGTATGGTACTAACATTGTTAATTTTATATATAAGATAGATTTTATATTTATGATGAAGTCAATGTAACTTAAAACAGATATATTTATTTAGATCATCAGTAACAATTAATAGAATTTACGTTTAACGGGTGTCACTTATTTATTTAGGATTTGAACCCCACTACCATTTGAATAGCTTAATTTAATCAATAATTATATAGATATATGAAATTAACAAAGGTCACACGACGTTACTGACTTGTTTTTAAGTTAATGGAATGGCAAACAAGCTTCCGGCGAACCTGATGGTAAGCGGTAACCGTCGCCTACATACATGAACAGCACTACTGACATTGTCATTATGTGACGCCCGAGTACGAGCTCTCATGAATTGCCATTCCAGAATTGCCATCAAATCAAAATCTTTCGCATTTTTTTATATAACAAATCTGTAATGTGTCAAATGACTGACATTAGTAATATAGTAAAACGAGTTTTAATACGAATTATTTTTATGGTAAATAAAGGTATAATAAAACATTTTCGTCGGATAATCGAATAATTTTATGGTAAATAAAGGTTACCTCACGTCGTTTCGACTAGGCCGCACTAGACGTGGTCACGCGCTAACTGGAGTAACAGCGATGTCAATGTTGATAGGTGCCGGCAGTTTGTTTAACTACCGTCATTAATTTCTTCGAAGAGAAATCCTTATTATAATCTTCATCTGCTTCTGCCTTATCCCATTTATTTGTAGTCAGCGTAATATATTTTTCTCTTCTATTCATCCCTGTTCGCCGTCATCTCGTTATTTACTCCCTTTCTATACCAGCTCATTAAATACTAACTACCCATCCCAGCTTTGCACGGTTTGCATATACATACATGTATTATATATATATATAAACCATCCTCTTGAATCACTACCTATTAAAAAAAAAACGCTTCAAAATCGTAGTTTTAAAGATTTAAGTATATATAGGGACAGACAGCGACAAGGACTTAGTTTTATAATATATAATAATGATTTCTATTTACCATAAAATTATTCGTGTTAAAACCCGTTTAACTACATTGCTAATGTCAAATTTCGTCAAATTACATACGTATGTATCTATGTAATGTGTATGTATGTATATCTATGTAATTATTGCTTTAAATTACTTTTTTAAACGTTTTACGTATATTTCAAATACGCCGAGTTCATTTGTTCGAGAGCTATGAAGGTGAGTACTGTGTGGGGTCCAAGGCGAGCGTAGTAAGGCAGGAATCCTTTCCAGAGAGACAACACGCCTTCAGTACGTAGTAGATTCGTCACTACGGCCACCTGACTCTCGCCTTTAGCGGCATTTTGGATTCTGAAACAATTAGTAGGTATAGTATAAATAAGAGGTAAACGAGCTTGCGTCACACATTACTTTTTTTTAATGGATGACAATGGAATGGTACTAAAATCTGTCTGTGCTTTTGTATAGAAAAAAAACCGTGCCATAAATTGTTATTTTTTAATTTTCATGTAGAAATTTATCCCGAATATTTTATTTTCATTTCTATAGACATAAAACCGCGGTATAAAAATATTTATTTTATGTGTATATTCATTTTGAGAAGTTATTCTCGCGATATGTTTTTTTTAATGGATGATAATGGAATGGTCCACCTGCTCGTTCTCGTTCTCTTTGTCTACATATACATGAACATTTCCTAAGTGAAACCCGTCGTGCTTGCAAGAGCCACGCACGTCTTTTTGCCACGCACAACCACATTGTGGAATCACCATCCAGCAATGGTATTTCCGAACCGATGCGATATTGAAACCTTCAAGAAAAGAGCTTATTCCTTTTTAAAAGGCCGACAACGTACTTGCAATTCCCCTGGTGTTGCGGGTGCTCATGGGCAGCGGTAATGCGGCTCACCTGATGGTAAGCATCAGGTGAGCCGAATGCTCGTTTGTCCCGTGTTATAAAAAAAAAAAAAAAAGAGCGTCGTATCCATCAGGCAGAAGTTGGTCTCCATAAGTCCTTCTAAGTTTGGAGTCCCATCTACACTCACCTCTACCGTTCAGTGAACCACTTTTTTAAGGACTATTCCAATGTTGGACGTTACCAGCATTGGAATAGTCCTTAAAAAAGTGGAAGAGACTCCGTGTAAAAGCAGCTATTACAATAGAGAATATTTTAGAACTCACTTCGTTTTGATGATGTCTACTGGCATGGAAGCTATGGTGGTGATGAGGCCGGACACCATAGATGCGCAGAAGTGGAGGAAGATACCTTCAGATATGTACCCTAGGAATATTTCCCTTGCCTGCAAACAACACAACCTAAGTAAGAAATTTCAAAATTGCCATTTATTTTCATTAAAGACTGATGTACATAATAAAAATAACCCTGGACAATTACCACCGCGCCATCTAGTCTCAAGGTAAGAAAATAAGCCTGGACATGTTATACCGCGCCATCTAGTCTCAAGGTAAAAAATACATAGATATATTTTACCGCGTTTTAGTAAACACAGGTAAGAAAATAACACAACTGTGACAATTGCGCCATCTAGTCTCAAGGTAAGAAAATAACGTTGGACAATTACCATTCTGCGCCATTTTTTAGTCTCCTTTAAGAAGATATTGGACAATTAACCGCGCCATCTAGTTCAAGTAAGAAAATAACCCTGGACAATACCACCGCGCCATCTAGTCTCAGGGTAAGAAAATAGGGTAGACAATTATCACCGCGCCATTAGTCTCAAGGTAAGAAAATAACCTGGACAAAACCGCGCCATCTAGTCTCAAGGTAAGAAGAGCCTATGTTATAGGTACTAGACAACTGAAACAATACTTAGATAAATTTTATTTTTGTAAACACAGGTTAAGATAGTTGTAACACAACTGTGAAGTTGAAGTTGTGAATTAATTTACCCTAGAACGTTGCGACTACTTTAGCGCATTCTGTCGCATTTTTTAGGTCTTCCTTTTTGCAAGATATTGGGCTTAAAGGACAGGTGAGTTGGTGGGGGAGTAGGGCGAAATAGGTCGCCCTAACCTTAGCGTGGGTACAATAGGGTAGACCATAGCCGTTAGAGCCGGGATGGAATGCACGTGCAAAACCCTCAGCTCCGGAATAGGCTCTTGCGTATCGTGTGATTTTTAGTAGGTAAAAGTCCAACACAAAACCTATCACTCCGGCGCGGTTACGGTCTTCTGAACATTTTCCCCACGTAAAAAAAATTGGTGAGTAGGTGGGCCATAGTCTGGGACCTTCCCAGACAAAGACCCACCTACTCACCGCTCCGCAGTCTCAAAGTAACTTGTGTAGTTAGTACCCATAAAACGAGCTCTGCTTAGTTTGGTACTAGATGACGCTGTGTGAATTGTGTTGTTTACCTGTGAGTACGTCCCAAGTTGGGCCGCGTTGACGACCATCGCTCGACCAACTGTGGGCGTCGCTCCACGCCATAATTTCAATGTACCCTCTTCTTTTACTATTCTGTAAATTTTATTTATTTATTGATTTAAACTCAATTCTTTTTTTTACAATAAGCGGGCCTTATGATATTACCATTTTCTACCAATCTTAGGGAGTTTTTCATTAATCTTTCCCGATCAGTCACTTGTATGGATTGAAAAATATTTGCAAACTAACGAAAACGATCGAGATTCATTTAATTGAATGAAGCCATTATTCTGTGAACGTGTAATGAAGTGTTGTCACTATAGTTGTATATTTCATTAGCCTGCCCGCGCTTTATCCGCATGAAATTTATAAATATTTATTCTGATGTATCTACATTATTAATATTATAAAGCTGAAGAGTTTGTTTGTGTTTGAAAATAATATCAGGAACTACTGGTTACTTTTTGAAAAATTATGTTTTGCTGGATAGTCCATTTAACGAAAATAAGCTATATAAACATTACGCTAAGACCTTTTTTCGGCAAACTGATATAAAATATTGCAAAAATGGAGAAAAAACGCAGTCTTTTTTTGCTTTTGTCATTTGTGAAATAAAAATAATGTAAATTTTCATCAACATCCGTCTAGTAGTACCGTTACCATCGGCTTGTTTACCAATTAATTCAATAGAATAGAATAGAATAGAAAATCATTTATTCAAATAAACATCAAATTTAAGCATGTGGTATTTGAATAGTCATAAACTATTTTTTTTTTAATTTTCATCAACATCTGTCATCACAAGAAGAACAAGCAAGAAACTTGTTTCAATTTCAATTTTTATTGAATCCATTGTTATAGTATCAAAAATAATTTATTAACGGCCCGATAGCGGACTAGCGGACACCGCTTCACTTTGATGTTCGCGTATACGTAGCTACACACCTGACCAAGGCGTCGACGACGTTCTTGTAATTCCTCCTCTGCTCTACAGGCAGCCTGCCGTCCGCCGTCATCCTGATGAGAGCCACCTCAGCAGGCGTCCCCACGAACGCACCGACTCCGCCCGCGGCGATACCCAGCAGGGTTTTCGTGCCAAAGCCGGGAGTGGCGCCGGCATTTTGTCTGAAAAATAATATTTATCACATAATGTACTCTTTTTTCTATTTGAGTATTTAATTGAATTAGTGCTAATTGGTGGTTTGTATTCACACACTTAAACTTAAAAATGTAAAGTAATAATAAAATTATTTAAAAGAGCAACACGCAAGTTTCTTGCTCGTTCTTCTTGTGATGAGACAGCTTTCCGAATGAGCGGTAGATTAAAAAAATGTAGTGACTATTCAAAAGTGCTTCAATGTAAGTTTATTTGAATAAATGATTTTCTATTCTATTCTAGTAGATTAATAGACAATTTTTTTAATAAATAAACAATCAATATTGTTGTATTAAAAATTGATACAACTCTAAATTGTCACCTTTCTATAACCAACCCCTATTTTTAAAAGCGACTTTAATTTATATGGCAAAGCAACATTTGCGGAATCCGCTTGTTCTGGTATATAATTTATAGCTTGATATGCTCCAACCCCAAAACTATAATGCTCTAATGTAATCTAATCTATTTGCTTATTTTAATTATATTTTTAAATATGCTATTTTAACGTTTTTATAATGGGTTTATTTGAAAGAAATATTCTAAACATTTCGCGGTATGAGACAAAGGTTAATGTGGCCACATCCGATACTCTATCTTATCAATTCGATTATTCATATCGATAGCTAAATGTGTTCATTACACACTTAGTGTTTACAGGACAAATACTTAAAGAATATTTCACTAACATTTACCTCGGACTTCGTCTGCTTTATTTGAGACTAGCTGTACCCCACGACTTCTTCCGCGTGGAATTTACCTTTATTTTTCTAAATTAAAATTAGCCTAAGTTACTCCTTATTACATCAGCTACCTGCCAATAAAAGTCAAAATCGGTCCAGTCATTTCAGAGATTAGCCGGAACAAACAGACAGACAGACAAAAATTGTAAAAAATGTACCGTATGTAGATTATATATATGTATAGATAGTAGAAAGCCTATGTCCGTCCTCGTGATACAATCTATTCTCATGTCAATTTCATTAAGATCTATTCAGCAGTTGTGAAAAGGTAAAAAATATATAGATACACTTTCACATTTGTACTCTTAGTAGAGACGACGACCCCAACCACACCATCCACTTTCGGGGAAGGAAATAGTTAGTAATGCTGACTAATAACCCTATTGCTAGCATTGTACCACGTCCGGTTGACCTCAACGCTGATCTCCCTGGAAACTAACTTGATAAATTGCCATTTAACAAGATGGGATAACTGAACTAATTTCATGATTATTATTATTCATTAAAAATAATATTATAATAATATAAAACAAACTAAATCCTGTGCAATACTGTGGCAGGAGGGTAGTATTAAATCTAGTATAAATTATCCATAATCTTTCCTTTATGCTTTATAATAAACTAGCTACTCGCCCTGGCTTCGCACGGGTGTACATGTATTATATATATAAACCTTCCTCTTGAATCACTCTATCTATTAAAAAAACCGCTTCAAAATCCGTTGCGTAGTTTTAAAGATTTAAGCATACATAGGGACGGACAGACAGCGACAGCGACTTTGTATTATACTATAATAATAATAATAATCTCAGGACAATTCACACAGCGCCATCTAGACCCAAGTTAAGCTAGCTAAAGCTTGTGTTATAAGTACTAGATAACTGATACAAATACATAGATATTTTTTTTCGAAATACATACATATTATACATAGAAAACACCCAGACCGACACAAACAATATACATACTCATGAATACAAAATGTTTGTGCCGTGCGAGGAATCGAACCCGCGACCATCGGAAGTAAGGCAGTGTATTAAACCACTAGACCACCGAAGCCGTCACTATGTAATGAAGAAGTAAATTAATCTTAATAAAAATCATCGTTACCAACACAAACATTAACAAAGATCATAATGTCATGTCAACCGGTATATAAATAGATACTGATAAAAACTTTATGGTCTGTACAATGCTTATCTGATATGCAAGTATAATGTACACTTTTGTTTATTTTTTTTTAAATGACCCAGCCATCTCAAGCAAATGATACAGCCGTAATCTTTTCTTTTACATATATAAAAACCGTAAAATCGTGACGAGACGAATATTATCTGTTTGTGTATTAGAGTTTAGACTTTTCTTTATTTTTCTTTTACATATATAAAAACCGTAAAATCGTGACCAGACGAAAATTATCTGTTTGTGTATTACGCTTTAAGAATTAAGGTTGTAGTTTTCACAGATTATTTAATATACAGTCAAGCAAAAACTTTGTACCCCTTTTTAAGAAAATTGCGCGGACGGAGAAGTATGAATGAAATTTCGCACACTTCATTACATAGTATAAAACAAAATCGCTGTCGCCGTCTGTTCGTCCCTATGTATGCTTAAATCTTTAAAACTACGCGACTGATTTCGTGGTTTCTTTAAATAAATAGAATGATTCAAGAGGAAGGTTTATATGTATAATACATGTACACCCGGGCGAAGCCGGGGTGAGTAGCTAGTAGTTTATATAGAGAAGTGCAGAATGACAATATTATTTTTCAGTTATGCATAAAAGTACATACATACATAAATCATAAAAAAGACTTCAGACACCTACCACATATTTGACAAATAAATATATATATATATACTCTTGTTTATTGTTAGTCTGTGGTCAAATTGAGAATAGATTAATATTATTTGTCTATAGTCTTCCTGAATTAAATTTTAAATGATTTTGGGTACATGTACGTAATATGACGTTATTGAAAACATAACCCTTGTAAAATCTGCATACAACAAGCGTCCAAATCTAATAAGAATTAATTATGAATTGACGTAAGTTTATAATTTAATACATGACGTTAATATTTTAGTAAATGATTTATTACACGGAGTTGTGTAAATGCTATATTTATTTCTGTCGTCCTACATGGTGTTTACAAAACACGTGAATGAAATCGCGGGCGCCACAGTATTATAATAATGTCATGATAATGTCATTTGTCTCAGTACGTGAGCATTCGTGGGTAAGCATCATTTAACTGATACATACTAACTGACAGTCAAGGTCATAGATATACATATTTACTTAAAGTTCTGTTGGTAGTAACGTAACGCCGCCGCCAGATATAGTTTCAAATGTTTGAACACACATTTGAAGAAATTTTAACACATTTGAACATAAATCTTTGCAAATAGTTCAGTGTACTGGTCTTAGTACTGAAATTTGCATCTGTTGGTAGCAACGCCAACACCAGATATAGTCAAATATTTGAACACACATTTGAATATAAATCAACACAACCAAAAGTGTACCACATATGCTTTGGAAATAAGTACGTTCAGAGTACGGTCTTAGTACTGAAGTTTGCATCTGTTGGTAGCAACGCCGGCGCTAGATATAGTTTCAAATGTTTGAACACACATTTGAATATAAATCGACACAACCAAAAGTGTACCACATACCCTTTGGACATAAGTACGTTCAGAGTACGGTCTTAGTACTGAAGTTTTCATCTGTTGGTAGCAACGCCTGCGCCAGATATAGTTTCAAATGTTTGAATACACATTTGAATATAAATCGACACAACCACATATGCTTTAGAAATATGTACCTTCAGAGTATTATCTTAGCACTGACGTTTGCATAAATGGACTACATACACAACGAGCATTTTTGAAAGATTTGATATATATATTGCTCAAAAATCGATATGGGACGACAAAAAACTGTGTTTGTTAAAATTTTGAATTTACGTTCAAAATTCAAATAGGCTTGTTATTGTATCTTTGAGTACGTGTACAAATTTTGTACAAATGTTTATGCTTTACAATTGAATGTGTATCTGACATTTAATTAAAATTGTCTGCGTGTACGTCAGCCTCACCTATTTCTGAGGCCACCTCTATTTACAAGCTGTTTCGGTTGTAGGTTGCGATGGAATTACAGGACAAATAGTATGTCATCTTAGTCCTCGTTAATCCACTGAGTCATGGGATCATGATGTCGTTATGTCCATAGTGCTGTTCATGTAATATAGGCAACGGTTACCGCTTACCATCAAGTAGGATCGACTTATTTGCAATTCTAATTGTATAAAAAAAAATCAAATCATTCATTCATGTAGGACATTTTAGCCCCTTATGAACGACTTTATCTTTGTATTAATATTTTTTCCCTACTGTCCAGTTTACTATACAGATTCAATTGAGAAGAACTGCAAGGAAACTCAACTGAATAACTATTTTCTTCAAAGCCAGTTTATTTACATTGTACACTTATATAGGTATAGATTAAATGGGGATTTTCATTCGTTCACAAATAATTTTTGCTATGCACGTTTGTCATTTAAGTAATTTAATTGGTATTCGACCGAAATTTGTTTTTTTCATGAACAACGGTAAGAAAGAAATCCTATCACGATGTTTTTTCTTATCCTCAAGGTGAAGGATTGCCAATAACTTCTTTGCATGTTACATCTTTATCTGAAATTTCAACTTGAACTTTGTCCCAAATTTTTATTGTTGGATTCTGTGGTTTTGGTTGTATTGTTTTATGTGATGACCTTAAACTTTGGTCGTAACATATAATATTTTTTTTACCTATATTATTAAGAGTTGGTACCTACTATATATGATTTCCAATGCTAAATTTCTCTCTCCATTTCGTAAAAACTAGTTTCTGTATTTCTATGGCTAAGTTCTGCTTGATAGATACTTTATAGGGCACCGCTTTTTGTTCTTTGTGGTTACAACCTTTTGGCCTATATGTTTTATTCCAATGTTTGACTGTTTTAATTACTGGATTTTTTTTATTATTATATATGGGACACAGTTACCTAGATACATCAAAATAATAATAGTATTTAGTAATGGCTAGTAAGACAAATCCAATATTGGCTACTAAACACTGCCGTGTCTAAACTGTGTCACCCCACCTGACATTTTCCTATTGTCATTTAGTATATAAGATCAATATTTTTATGTACGTATGGTCAGTCTATTATCATCTATAATATACATCGTCTCAACAAACAACATAGTATAATTACCCCGGAACACTATACATTTATTATTATACATTAACTATAATACCCCAATTAATTAGGGAGAAGAATATTGGTAGTCACGTGGTTTCCGCAGTGCCTCAACACGAAGGTTTACGACCAATGTGTGTTGGCCAGTGGTGACTTACAGCACAGAGACGTGGTCGCTAACTATGGGCCTTAGGAACAAGCTCAAGGTCACTCAGAGGGCAATGGAGATGGCTATGCTCGGAGTTACTCTGCGTGATCGAATCAGAAATGAGGAGATCCGCAGAAGAACCAGAGTGACCGACATAGCCCGAAGAATTGCGACTCTGAAGTGGCAATGGGCAGGGCACATAGCTCGTAGGACAGATGGCCGATGGGGTCGTAAAGTCCTCAAGTGGCGACCACGGACCGGAAGACGCAGCGTGGGAAGGCCTCCAGCAAGGTGGACCGACGATCTGGTCAAGATCGCTAGAAGGCATTGGATGCGAGCAGCGCAGAACCGATCGTCGTGGAGATCTTTGGGGGAGGCCTATGTCCAGAAGTGGACGTCTTCCGGGATGCGATGATGATGATGAGTCACGTGTACTAATAACCCCATTGCTATATTACAAAGTGAATGATGATGAGTGATGATGAATGTTTATTGTGTGGGCATCGATAGGGGGTTCGAACCTCGTCTCATGCCCTCGTAAAAGTACTCCCCATGAATGGCACATTGGATTGTTCAAAGGAGTGATAGGATTATCAGTGTTGGTGTATATGTGGAAGTTTGTCTCCCGAATTACTACACCTACTACTTGAATTATTATCGTATGTATGTTGGACTCCATTCTCCGCAATTAGCCTCACATTCGGGCCGTTGTGCGTGTAGAGCCAGACTACTAACGTAGCCAGCCAAGCTCCTCCCAAAAGCGCAGAAGACTCCTGGTGTCTTCGCAGGCTTCACGGAGCACTTGAATTATTATTATTATTAATTAATTGATTAATCAGTACTCACTCTTTATACAAATCAAAGAGCCAGTTGTATACACCAAGACGGGATGTTGTATATGTAGCCTGTCTGAGAAGTCCGGCCGACAATCCCGTGTACAATGAGAAGAAGCCCTCCCGCGCCACGATCTCGCCTGCTACGGTAAACGACGACCGGCCACCACCACTCAGCTGCATCCTCGTCTTGATGAGATCCAATGGCTGGACTACACATGTTGCTGACATGCTGAAAGTGTTGTAGAAATATATAGTAAAACTATTTATAAAGGGTTAATGTTTTAGTGGTGTGACATATATATAATTTTGTTTAATAGTCTTTAAATTCAAATTTAAATTATAAATATCTTTACAGATTCTTATGATATGTCAAATCTACCGTCAGTTCGAAATGATTTCGAGATGAGAAGAACTGACAAGAGACTCAGCTCTTGATCAGAGAATACAAAAATAAACTTTAAACATTTTAATATCAATAAAGTGTCTCAACAGAAATGGAACAAAAATCTTGTCACAAGACAAACATTTAGCGTAAAAGGTATAGACCCTCCTGTACCTACCTTATATGCTAAATCCACATTACAAACAATCCCATACCCTTATGGTATTGTTTGTAATGTGGATTAATGACACCATTGCTAGCAATGTACTATGTCTGATTGACCTCCACATGGTTCCCTATGGAAACCATCATGATAAATTAATTACAGATGAATTTACCACGATGGGCTAACTGATTTGACCTCATGCTGTTCCTATCATCCTCCACTGGTGTCCTGCCAGCATATACTATTAGTGTAGACAGGAGCAGCTTTTTTTTTTAAATGGGTGTACCATTTAAAAAAAATAGGTAAAAATGTATTTTTTTCCTGTTCTTGCCTTTTACCTTCCTTGGCATTTTGTTAATTGTTCTATTAACTTACTATTTAATAATTCATAGATAATTCCATGCAGCAATTTGTGAATGTGTAATGGAATATTACATCCATTTAAAAAAAATTGGTAGAAATGAAATTTTTTCCTGTTCTTGCCTTTTACCTGCCTTGGCATTTTGTTACATAAATGTTCTATTAACTTACTATTTAAAAATTCATAGATAATTCCATACAGCAATTTGTGAGGTTGAAGATAATTTAATAGCATTATCTAATTATAAACCATTAAATTAAAACATTACAAATGTATAAAATAGGAATTGAAGGTTTTCTTAACATGCCATGTTTATGTAAACTAGTAGTCACCCAATGATTCTACTATGACTATAATTAATTTAAATTATAAATTTAAACAATTATGAAGGGTCTATTGTCGAAGACATGGTAGTGTGCAGAATATTTTTAGTATTGATTATAATTTAAAAAAAAAATAAAAAAAAGCATAATAAAAACATTAAATAAATACTAGCTTTATGCACCCTTCCATAAATTTTAAGTTTGCAAAATTTCATACTCTTACATTCACAAAATTTTCTTATAAAGGAGTAGAAAGATTTTGCTTCACATATCAATTTATAGATAACCTAGTACCTATCCAAAACGCAAAAGCTAGGAGAACCTTAAATGATAATAGGACAATTTTAGAAAAAAAAATCCAATGCTATAATATATATGTATTCTCATGTGTGTGCTATACTATGGTGGGTTATGTAGAATCACTGAGCATGTAACCACTACGTTTTATGTAGAATAAATCTCTAGCGATGATAGATCTATGAGAAATAAACAATTTGACATTCTATTTTTAAATTAAAACATGCAGCTTTTTATGAAACTGAATTAAACTTTATTTGAAATGACATTGAAAGATGAAATATCTTTAGTATTGTTTCAGTTATAAAAGAAGAATTAATATAATCTTACCCAGCAAGGCCACCGAAAGCGAATTTAAGTGCGTTAGGTATATATCGCTCTTTTGTAGGAGCAGAACTCGTTTGTGCCATTTCGATTTAAAGAATTAAATTACAAAACAAACTAATAATCACTAAATTCTTAACTTATACTTATTAAATTAAGACACAGAATAGAAAATAACATACAGAATAGAATTATGAACTATATTATAGTGTCTTTTGCAATCTGTACTAAAAAATAAGTATAAAAAATTCGACTGACGGACAATTGAATACTGAACAATTTTATGTATGACAGTATCAACTATTTTGTGAATATGACAGATAGGGACGTAAAAATATACAATTGTAGGAAGAATCGATTATTATACTGTAGATATCGATTATTCTGATCAATTTAAATATTAAAAAAGTAATTAAATAATTACTGTTTATTGTTCACGAACGATTTTTTCTTTCTGTTTTCATATCGATTTTTCATGTGTAAAACAGAGAAAATTGAGATATAGCTGACATCAGCTATATCTCAATTTCTTTACCAATGAATTATTGAAGATTTTCGTGGTTGTTTAGAAGAATGTGAAAATCGAGGCGCTGGTCATTTAATTGAAACTAACTAAAAAAATCGAAACATCATTTATTTTTCTAATAAATAAATAATTGTTCAACCCATTATATATTTTTTTATTTAAATAAATATTACAAAAGTAAAGAAATTTATGGCGCACCCCGAATTACCATCTCAGTTGCGGATCCAAGGTTGAATAACAGCACTCTCAGCAAACGTGTAAGAAAAATTAGTTATTTTCTTTTGATTCAAATTGCTATCACATTATAATTAAACCTAAAGCGTTGTGGATTATACGTCGGCTGATAGCACGAATACATTGAAAAAGTGATTTCCTGCCACTCCAAAATTTAAATGATAGTTTATGTACCATTTTAAATAATTAAAAATGTAGTTGCATTACAGGAGAATCTCTGGGAGTCTCTCTGTCTGTATAATAAATAAGACAACTCACACAAACAATATAAACATTTATATGTGATAAAGTGCTATTGGTGTTGGCGATGATTTTAAATAGTCATCGCGGTGATGATTTCAAAAATAAGAACACTCACATACCATGAAGTAAAAATTATGGTTGTGGGAAAATAATCGATTTATTTACAATATTCTACTGACAAAAATAATAGATTTATTAATTAGTAAGCCATTTTTTAAATAGAAGCTACATCCCTAGCAGATTGAGTAGAGATGTGCTAACTCGTAATAAACATGACTTGAGTTAACTCGAGTTGAAATACAGGTAACTCGAGTTAACTCAAGTTGACTCGAGTTACCTGGAATTAAGAGTTTTTCTTAATTTTTCGGACTATTCTAATGTTCTTGACCGCAGCTGGCCTTGAAAGCTTTATGGAACTATAGGGAGTGAGTAGAAATGGCACTTCAAAGCCTCAGAAGGACTTATCGAGCGGATGCAAGTCAACATGATTTGAGTCCTATTTTATTAACATAATTCAATAACGAGCTCGTATTTCCTACATATTAAAAATTAATACGAGCATTTTTTACATGTCACTATTTTACTCATTGGCATAAGAAAAAAAACAATGAATTTCCTCTTAATTAAAAAAAAAATATTATTTACTACCGGCATTTATAAAAATGTACTACGGTATAATAAGCTCCGGTAACCGTTTACCATCAGATATGTCGTATGCTTGTTTGTCTTCTATAGGTACGTGATATAAAAAAATACCAGGTATTGAAAAATAACAACAAATGATAACTGACAATTGTTAATTTAATTAAAAAAAGTCTAAAAACACGTATTACTGTACTACCTAGCGATCACGCCTAAATATTACTGGCAACACTGACCAGCATGACGGGGCTGAACCGTGAACGTATACAAACAAACCACAGCACATAACAAGTAGGTTGCCTACGTAATTAAGTTAATTATTTTTGTTTAATCTGCTGAAATAGACAAAACGCTTAGTTTGTGTTCTAAGTAATTTCTAATCATTATCTACTTTTTTGTTCTGTAACGAGGACCCCTGTTACGAGGAACCTACTGTGATCACAAATTCACTATTGTTCTTAAGAGGATCGTATATATCGACGCAATAAAATTACTTTGCAGGTATTCTTTGGTATTTGTTATATTTTTATTTAGAGACTTGCGTCTTTCCTTACTTAATTGCGATCCTTGCGATAGCAATACTTTCAGTCGTAATTTTGGTTTAAATATATACATTACGCTGATTTCCGCTCTACTCTGCTTAGCCAAATTGTTATACTATCTTGGAATATTCATACTACTTCATACGAATGAGCTAAAGATTTTTTTTTAAGTTGAATATCGAGTTTTTCATGTAATTCTAAACAATCTTGTTTAAAGAAAATCTAACTGGTCTATCATTTTTTAGCTCGTAACACCAAAAAAATCTATTGTTTTTAGATTGTAAAATATAGTGACTGATATACTAATGCATGATGCATTAGTATATTAGTCACTATATTTTCTCGCTGCTATGCTGCGAATTAGATAAAACTTTGTTAATTTGCGACGTAATAGTAAAACTAAAATTAATCAAAGAACAAATTAACAGGTATGTACCTACTTGCCCGCATCTAACTTTGCAGCCCCTCCAAAAACATTGACATATCAAATCGTGGCTGAAGTAGTTTTAGTATTTCACCCATACGTAAGATATTTCATGGGGCCAAGTTTCTTTTTATTTATCATGTTTGTTTCACCTCTGTTGTTTTCTCATTGGATGATCTTTTCTTTACCCTAAACTCCTCACAAAGTAGGAGAGGATCTCTTGAAACAATAGCCAGGAACAATACAGTCTGGTACATTCAAATTTCAAACCTATAAATTTAGATATAGTACTACACGCAACAATTGTCTAATTTATTAGTTTTTTAAATTTAAGATATGTCTATGTCCATCCTGATGTAGTTTGTCATCAACATTTGTCCAGCTGTTTAAATAGTCATAAAAATGCAACACATGGACTGACAAACTTTTGCATTTGAGTATATTATTATGGATTAGTAGGTACATATGAATAACATGGGGTGAAAGGGATTGCTAGTAATGTGGACTAACTGCACCATCGGTAGTATGTACCATGTACCATGTCAGGTTGATCTATACTCTAATGAGAATTTATCACGATGGTTCCCCCTGGAAACCATCATGATAAATTCCAGGTGAATTTGTTCCGATGGGCCAACTGACCTCAACTCATGCTCATCTTATATCATTGATAAAAAAAAAACATTTATACATATTAGAAAAACCGAATATTTCTTTGATATTCTTTCTTCTCAAATATAGCTGCATTAATAATATATATAAGTATTTTTAGTCACTATAGTAAGTGATTAAAATTTTTTTTTTTTCTGTAAATAGAACATAAATTTTGTGTAGTATTTCTATTCTATTACTAGCTGTGCCCGCGGTTTCACATGCATGAAATTTATAGCCTATGTGTTATTGATCTATATGTTATATTACTGTAAAGTTTATTTAGATCCATTCAGTATATTTTGTGTGAAAGAGTAAAAAACATCTATACTCGCAAATATACCAGTCTTTAATATTATTAAGATTTGATAGTTACATGATTTATCACAGATATTTTTATTTTACATGATTTCAGAAAATTTACATACTTAATATTTAAAATGTGGCCATTGGAAGCTCCAAGCATCTACAGCTTCATATTAGACAATAGTATTTTGGTAAAGGAAATATATGAAGCCATGAGAAGCTCTGACATATCAGATCCAATCATGACACTGATAACCCATCCACATTTTGTTGTTCCATCTTTTAAGAGAGAGATTAAGAATGATTCTACTTCCAATGAATACAGAAATGAAGGTAATAGTGCTTATAAAAACAAAATGTATGAGGTGGCATTAAAGTGTTACAATACAGCTCTTGCATATGCACCAAATATGTCCATTGCAATGAAACTTGCATATAGTAATCGGTCCGCAGTACTATTCACATTGCAGTGCTACAGAGCTTGTCTCAAAGACATCAATACTTGTATAACTATGGGATGTCCTGATGACATATTGGAAAAATTATATAAACGCAGAGAACAAGCTGAAAACTCTCTGTGGACAGAAAGTACACAAATAAAGTAAGTACTTATAAAAGGTCCCCAGTCTTATTTATTTCAGGCAACTTAATATTATTATGTAACAATATTGGCCCATATTATATATATATCTTAAGGACTAACATATATAGAAAACTAGCGACACGCCTCGGCTTCGCACGGGTGCATGCTGGTACTAAATATACGTACCTACCTACAGAATGTCCTTATAAACAACGTTTACAGCTTTTTTGTCATTAGACATTACAAACATGTTTTGTTTAGCGCCACACCGCTATGTCCCTGCATTTCAGATCTGTAATATCTTCGGAAATATTAATTTAAATTACATGCTGTAAAGGCCCATATTGATCTATATTATATGGACTTTACTGTATCCATCCATATATCTATCCATTCATAATTTCATACTGAAAAACTTTCGCGTTTATAATATTAGTAAGATAAAACTAATTATATACACTATTATTCAACATTACCCATTTCTCTCTGTTTTGGATGCTTTTCTCCATTAGCCCCCTGTTTTTAGGCTTTGAAGTATCAATCCACCTAAATAACTTTGTTTATGCTACTTGCTTGTGACATAACATGATGTTTTTGTCAATTGGTAGACTTGTTGATTAAATTTTAACAGATAACATATTAAGTAAAAAAAATGTGAAAATGTAATAATTTTTAAATATTCCAGGTATAGTGGTGAAATTTTTTTTAAAATACCTAAACGCCATCCGGATATACCATGCGCGAGCGCAGAAATAGATATTATTATGGATACCAACGGTCCTAAAATAGTGGCCAAGACAGACATTAAAGTTGGGACTGTGTTGGCTTTAGAGAAAGTATTTGCCGGCTTTGTAGACCTAATTCAAAATTCAGATGCAACTTGGATATCTTGCTACCACTGCTGTAAACTTTCTTTCAATTTATTCCCTTGTGAAGGCTGTTGCAAAGCACTATTCTGCAGCAAACAGTGTAAAGACAATTGCATGAAAGAATATCATAATATTGAATGTCAGATCTTAGAGTTAGCGAACTGGCCAATTACTCAAATGGTACTCAAAGCTGCAATAAAAATGAGAAACATGTGCAAATCGTGGGATGAAATGATCGAACTGTCAAAGAAATATGTTAATAATAAGCAAAAAATAAACCAAATAAAAGATATATATGATTCAAGAAACTGTACTTCCCTTCTAACATTCAACCATAATGTGCACTTTATGCATGGTATGTTTTTTAATACAACAATAATTTGGTCACATTACATTTCCATAATTGACTCTTCTGGATGTTTTTTCCCAGTAAGAATTCAGGACAAAAGGTATGCAATTCGTGCTTTTGCAAGAATACTGATGCACCTAACAATATTTGCACACCCAATGCTTTTAGCTACAAATAATTGTCTAAAAACTAAGCCACAGATAATTACATTGTGGGTGACGCCAAGACTTGGACTCTTTCCATTCATTGGAAAATTAAAACGGTCCTGTATACCAAATACATACAGCACAGTAATCAATAATAATACTACGGCTTTGGTAGCGACACAAATTATAAGAGCAGGAACTGAATTGTCTGTCAGCCCCATGTAAGTAAATCTAATTGGTTGTTGTATTTGTTCACTATAACGTAAAGTTTACTATTATTTCTGTACAAAAAGATTTGTATTCAGTTTAGAAAAGCTAAAATAATATTTTATTTTACAGAACTTATAGTTCTGACCAACACACTCACTAGACAACTATATTTTCAATTTTCTAAGGTAAATAATATTTTAATGGTATTTACATACATGATAATTATAAAAATAGGCCTGAACAATTCAGAAATAGCAAACATATTTTACACGTTATCATTGTACTTTGTGATTTCGGTAATGAAGAAATAACCAGATAAATATTTTCTTCTTTAAATAATACGTCTTATTTTCTATATATAATACATAACTAGTAGATGGCGCTATCTTTTCTCGCTATACCCTTGTTCTTCTCTTATTTTATTTCTCTCCAATCTCCCTCCCTCAGTCCCTCTTTTTCTGTCTATATTATATAGTATTTCTGTCACTTAATCAATTTACAGAAACAATCTGCATTTAATATGCAGAGTTTTATCACTTACATATTATTGTATCTATTCGAAATATATAAAAAAAAAAAAATTACACCATTTTTAATTTGAATCAACAATATTTGGATGATATATTGAATTAAACAAGAGTTGCACGAGTTATTATCGTTGTTTTTCATCATTAGTATTGTGTTTAGACTGTAATAAAGATTATTTACTTATAGTCTTTATTATGATAGACATATTTATATAATTCATAGAGAGACATTTATTTCTATTTCACTGTCTCGATTTCATCTGCTTGTCCTTCTTCAAAACTCTATAAACCTCTGTCCAACGCTTTTCTTCATGTTGGTCCAGCCACTGTCCTTATATCAACCTCTCGCTTCTTGTTCTGTTGCCCGCATTTTCATATTTCCTTTCTTGGATAATTATCAATCTAAAACATGCTGGGTCCAATTCTCTTTCTTATTGCATGTCCAGTCCACTTCCATTTCAGTTTCTCGACTGTTCTGATTGCATCTGTCGATTTGGTTTTTTCTCATAAATTGGTAAGTTTGACATTGTCGCTGAGTTGGATATTTAAGAAGCTTCTTTGCATGGTATTTTGGCATATTTTTATTTTACTCAGTTTTTGTTGTCCAATCCCACGTTTGGCAGACATATATTAGACGGAAAAATACAGGACTCGTATGTTTTTCTTATGTTTTATAAAGATGTTCTTGTTTTTTATTACATCTTTCATGTATATAAAGTTAGTATAAATTATATTTTTCAGAAATCATTGGTTACAGCATCTACTAACAAAAAAGACTAGACGAGAAATGATGTATAACATCAATGGAACTGTATGCAGTTGTGTATTGTGTGAAGCAGAACCTAAAGACTTGGAAGCAATAGGAAACGCCAACCCTCTATCTGATGAACAAAAAAAGAAATTTAAAATTAAACTCACAAATGAGCTTTATCATAACTCTACAGATATTACGAAAGTCGCCGGCGTCTACACGGAAATATTTGAATTGTTAGACTTATTACATGATGTGCCATTTTCGAAGGAATATGCAATAACACATGAACTCTTCCGAAATTGTATTACAACACAATCATTATATTCAAATTTTAATGAGGTAGAGTCTTCATAATTCTTTCCATTAAACTTCTTTCTCTATTTATTGTTATAACTGTAAATAAATTCTATTACTTTCAATAGTTTCTTTTTATAAACAAAATTAATAATAGTTTGGTACACTTTGTTAAAAGTCGTCTGCAGGTACCCAACCCGTCTCATCTATTGCAAAGCAGTTGGCTGTATAAAATCTACACTTGTAGGGATCTGATGTGTATGTATGATAGGTAAGAATGAATGTGTGTGTATGCTAGCCTATATGTATATAAACGCGTCCCATTCCGTGAAGGGTCTGCTCCGATCGATCCTACGTATAATTCAAAGGGGGATTGAAATTACGACCTGAACAGAGCTTCGAACCCCTAGCGGCGCCCCCAGACTAAAGTCGTATCCGTCAGGCGAGATTTGGCCTTCAGCCGTTCCATAAGTTTCATAAGTTCCATAAGTTTGGAGTACCATCTGCACTCGCTCCCTATCGCCCGCTGCAGCTGTAAAGACCATCTGCAGTAATCAGCATTAGAGTAGTCCGGAAAGAAAAAGTGAAGGGTGTGATAAGGCAGTGACTTTATAGGGTATATACATCCTAGTCTTTGGAATGACAACGCGTGCCCACTAACATATAATAACGTGGTATCCATGGTATTGTCATGTACATAGTTGATATATTTTTATTATATGTAACACATACCTAGTTTTCGCGTACCGCGATTGCAAATCCGTAACAAGCTGACAAGATAAATATAGAATTCTGGCAAATTTACGTATAATAATAGAAAACTTCAATACAACTAGGGATAATGTAGTTATGAATTAGTTTCTTCTGTGGCTTCTTTATATTGTTCATGCCAATGATTAGGATCTTTTCCGAAAGCCTGTAAAATAAATATTTCAATTTAATTAAAAGGTATTTCTGCCTCATTAATTTCAGCCAACCGCAATGCAGCGTCTTTAATAAAAATAGACAATCTTAATGAATCTAAATGACAGAGAAAATTAATATTGAAACTAATATTTAACAAAACATGAAAATTCATATTTCAAATTCTTAATTCAAATAACAAAAGCACTTTTGAATAGCTATATATTTTTAATTGTACTACTTATTTGGAACGCAGACGCAGACTCGTCAAAGGAGAATGAATTACAAACATGCATGTTGCTCTTTCAAATAAATGAATTATATCTAAATTATGCTACATATTTACCTCTGCCATTTTATTCAGGAGAAACATTTTAGGTACCTCTTCCATCGCCCGTTGACCCCATTCAAATACATTTCTAGCCAGTTCCCCTTCGCCTACCTGTGGAGAGACAATAATTTTGAGTGACAGCAATAATAATACATATTGGGGGGAAGAGATTGTTAGTAATATGGACTAACAAACCCTTTTTTAAATATTGGTATTGTGCACCAGCCTACACTAACGGTATATGCTGGCGGGGCACTAGTGGAGAAAGAAAGAAAAATATTTTATGGAGGATGATAGGATGAATATGAAGTTAGGTCAGTTAGCCCATCTGCTTACCGCCTAGTCGCTAATAAGATCAAGTAATCATGGTAAATTGTATATTATAGAGAATAAAGATCTATTAATACAGCCAGTTATTTGTTAGTGTGTATGTATTGATATATATAATAATAATAATATCAGGACAATTCTCACAGCGCCGTCTAGACCCAAGTTAAGCTAACTAAAGCTTGTGTTATGGGTACTAGACAACTGATACAAATACATAGTTTTTTTTGTAAATACATACATATTACACATATTTCACACCCAGACCAATATAAATACTCATACTCATGAATATTAATGTTTGTGCTGTGCGAGGAATCGAACCCATGACAATCGGATGTAAAACGATGTGTCTATACCGCTAGACCACCGAGTTCATCAATATATATTGACTCTATATATAAATATGAGTTGTTTAGAACCCATAACACAAGCTTTGCTTAGCTTAGGACTAGATGGCGCGGTGTGAATTGTCCAGGACTATTTTTATAATTATCATGTATGTGAAGACCATAAAAATACTACCTTAGAAAATTGCAAATATAGTTGTCTAGTGAGAGTGTTGGTCAGAACTTTCCTTGCTGTGTGGTCATCCTCTTCCATGAGACCAGCTTCAGACAAAAACTTCCACATTTCATCTGAACATTGTAACCAAATAAAATTAAAAATCTCAATAGTCAACTTGTAAATAGACAAGTTCTTACATGTAAAATGTTGGTATACCTTCCTTGACTGGTCCTCCAGTCATATAAATGTGTGTGAGAGCAGCAATCAACATCCGTCTATGATGAGGATTGGAGACACAACTTGGCTCCAAGTCACTCTCTTCATTAAGCACTACGATATACTGGATACCACTCTTGGATTCAACTTGAATCAGCTTATAACCATAAACCTTTAAATAAATAAAAAAAAAATAGAAATAAAATGAAATAAAGGTATATATATACTCATAGTTGTTTTTATATGAAAATTTTAAGATTAGGAAGCATTTTTTGTAATATATCCAATAAATTTTGGGGCGGTGGGGGGTAATCATTACTTGCGGAGGCTCCATTACTGAGGGGAATCTCTTTGGGGGGTTAGAGTTCCCCTCGTCGAAGTGTAGTGAAGGACCTCTTTTGCATGCCTTCTGGCTTTATCTCTTCCTTAGCTTTTGTATTTGTATATGTATTTTATAAATAAATTGAAATAAAACAAAAATAATAATTAACACATATATTACAAAACTACAAATTATAGGTACAACATTGAAATAATGATAACTCATCTATCATTATCATATCAGCTCACACTCTGTACTGATCTACTTATCTATACTTAAAATAAAAATAATAATAATCTTTATTTACTGTTAAAAATTATTACTATTCTATAGTTACAAATTTATACTATTCTATAGTTACAACTAGTTTAATCTATACTTACAACTAACTTAAGCTATAATACATTCACACACACACACAAACTGATTATCTTGGTTGCTTATGGGTAACTTTTTTATGGTTATATCCATATTCTGGAAGGGAGTCATATGCCCTCCAAAATTATCTTTTTCTTAAAAGACTGTTCTATGACATGCTTTTGAAAGAGTTGAGGCACCAATACTTCTACAGATCTCTCATTGCAACAGACTTCTAATCTTAGGTTGTCACTGCTATTATCTATCATCCTGAGGACCTAGATTTCTTCCATTACCCTTCTATTATATTTTCTCTTTCTAAATTATGACTCATCAATTTGTCATAATCAAATTGGGTTTATTTTTATTTTGGTTTCATAAATTTGATTCTCTAGTTCATAAATTATGATTGTTTCTCGACAATAACTGTACCAGTCATAAGTGTTTTTCGAAGCTAAAATAGAATTATTTTCACATATTTTAATTATAATTTCAAAAATTAATATCTCCAAAACTATAACTTTCTGTAAGTTGAAATTTTAGGAGTAACAAAACCAATAGCTATATATGTAGCCATAATATTTTCAACTTCCAAATCAATTATATAGATTGTACAATTTAGCCTCACATGTTACCTAACATAACTAAAATAAATAACACCTATTTGATGGTTTATGCATTTACATTCCTGAAAACTTAGGTCTTAATACCCACTTTTGTAATTTCACTGCCAAATCTCATGCTTCAAACTAAAACTTGCAAAGGTAGGTGCTTAGCTGCAGAATTACGTTAGATAAAGGTACTCACACAAACTATACTTACTTTTTTTAATATTTTATTTGCTTCAATAACTACACTGTTCACTTGGTTCGAAGGTGTTTGACACGTAGAATTCAAGTGTTTCGCGATTTCAGCGCGTTTTATAGGTATTTTGCTGCCTTCACGAATGACTATGTAGCGAACACATTCGTTGATCGCTCCCCCTAGATTTTCTTCTGTTTCCATGGATATATTTTGGCGGCGCTGAGACATTTTGAAAATCAGTGAGCCTGTTTCAGTGCTAATTTATGTGTTCATGAAGACTGTAGCCATTACCAAAATTGGTTATAATGTTTATTGGTATAGTTCTTTATAAACACAACACACACTTTTTTAAACCTATGTACAAAGAATATACTACTCAAGAGCCTATGTATATCTAAATACATCAAAATTCTATTCGAATAAAATCAAACTGTCAAAATGTTTGACACTTGTCCACAGAATATAATACAAGTACTTTTTTTTTCCCCATATTCTTCCATCTCCTTTTCAGTGATGGAACAGGCAAAGATCCTTAGACCGTACAGCCTAGTCTACTATTAAACTTCTTCATATTTGAACAAGTGATGAGGCCAAAGGCCAATTCTTATGTATGTTTATTTATTATGTTTTCATTCGTGTTCATAATACAAGTACTTTACAATAATACGACGCCACACTATAGAGTTACTGTTACTATAGACAAATATTTACTTTACCACTTTTACTTATACTTTATATCACTTTAATTCAAATAAAATGCTAATAGGACATTGATGTTGAAATTTATACATATAAATAAAATTGGAGTGTCTAGTCTGTTTGTAATATTGAAATAACATACACTAAAAGAACATTATTAAAAAATTTTGTGTGTCTGTCTGTTTGTTCCGGCTAATCTCTGAAATGGCTGGACCGATTTTGACGGGATTTTTTTTGGCAGGTAGCTGATGTAATAAAGAGTAAGTTATGCTACTTTTATTTTAGAAAAATAAAAGTTATATTCCACGCGGACGAAGTCTCGGGTACAACTAGTCTATACATATAAATAGAATATATTTGTATGTATAGACTTAAATTTATATGTATAGAATAATTTTTTAATATAACTGGAAGAGCAAACAACGATTTTTTTCAATGCTTCTGACTATCTCATCTAGGATTACAATCGTGACGCTATATTTAAGCTGTTACTAAATTTTCTACTATATAGCGTAGTGTTACGTCGGTATTACAATAATAAAGGAATTAAAATACGGTAACAATAAACTATTAGGTACAAATAAAATGAAAGCATTTCCCACCAATTTTTTACATGTGTATGGGTCCTACGTTTTTATTTAGTTACGAAGCCAATTAATTAATTCTGCTCTGAAAAATTGCTTATTTTATAGGTAATTTCATACAATATGGAATATTGGCATCTAATGGAAAAAATAATGAACACAAAATCACAGTAAAACCTTATCCAAACATGCAGTTATTATCTTTCACTTATTATATAGACTAGAAGTCCCGGTTTCGCACGGACGAATTAAAAATCTTTGAATTTCACGGCTTGTTCTATACTCTAAACGCATGTAGAATACATATAAACCTCACTTACATGAATCACTTTATCTATAGCTGAAAACTGCATTAAAATCCCTTGCGTAATTTAAAAGATATAAGAACAGACAGCGGCAGTCACTTTGTTTTATAGGTACTATGTAAAAATAATAATCCTCGTTAAATGTACTAATTGTTAGTATTTGTTGCCGATGGCAACCTTTTTGATAGTTTTTATGTTTTTTATATATATTTGAATTTTATATTTTGACGTTCTGTTTTTGTATACCGTTTGTTTCCTTATGCCATATTAATTGTCTTTATGTTTTTGCTAGCGAGCTGATTACACTTATTTTACCTCACCTGGGAACGTGTATCATTTTAAACCAAAGGGGATTGTTAGTAATGTGGACTTAATAACCCATTACTAGCTATGTACCATGTCAGGTTGACCTCCACGCTGTTCGCCCTGAAAACCATCGTAATAAATTCTTGGTGAATTTGTCACGATGGGCTAAATGACCTGACCTCATACTCATCTTATCATCCTCCACTGGTGCCCCGCCAGCGTAAACCGTCAGCGCAGGCGGGTGCACCATTCCATTATCATCCTTAAAAAAAAACCAGCGTTAATACAGTCCTTCCGTAACAGTAATCATATAATAGTTTGAGTACTGAACAACCCATACAAAAACAGAAGAATATAGATATACCTATAAAAGAAAAAAATCTTGATTTTTATGAATAAATAATTGACTTTAATATTTATATCCGCGGCACACACACCAACCTTATGGAAGGGGACTACAATTTCGATCTGTCAGTATTAGTCTATAGCACCGTAGGACTCAGTAATTGTCTAACTATAACCACGACAACAACGGAGCAACATCGTACGTTGGTGAGTTGAATATTACTCTTGTAAATTAAAAATACGTTTATAAGCGTGTGGATCTCAGGGGTTGTATGGTGTGAGTTAAAGGCCCTTTTATGATAAGCTGTTTCATTTCGTTATATACAAATGACCGAACGGGCAACTTTATTTCGACCAAATTGCGTGTCTTAACTAACTGAAAGGAACGTACTATCTACCCTATTGGTGCAGTTATTATACTGAAGAGGGGGATAAGGGGATTGTTAGTAATGTGGACTGATGATCTCATTGCTAGCAATGTACCGTATGTATTATCTGCATTTAGCTACTGAACTAAGTCGTGTTTGTAAACAAAATAAAGTGTAATAGGTAGTGTATGGGAGGGAGATCAAAGACGAGTATGATTGTACCACAAAAGGCACCGATATAGTTGCAAATATTTTCCATGTATAATTAAAACAATTAGTACAAAAATATAGACATATAACATGTATAAAAAAGTTCCCAACAAATAGGATATTTATTCATTGGGTATACAAACTAGGGTAGGGTTGACGGTATTAGACGGTCCACGTGTGTACCAAAATGGTGGTTCCATGGTGCTAAAAAAGGTGAGACAGAGGTCACGCAGACAAGTTTCTACAAAGTTAAGTCCTGTTAAACAAACTGATATATAGTTTTAATTCACACAAAATTCCTAAAAATTTAATTCTGAACAATATTTATTTAAAACAGCAACACGCAAGTTTCTATCTCTTTCTTCTAGTGATGAGTCTGCGTTCCGAATGAGTGGTAGAATAAAAAAATGTGACTATTCAAAAGTATTATTATAATAAGGTTTTTAATTATTTTGTTTCACAGAAAGATGGCGAATGTCGTATTTCACTATTTCCCCGCGAAAGCATTGGGCGAGAGTATTCGAATGCTACTAGCATTTGGTGGGCAGGAGTTCGAAGATGACCGGATTCCCATGGATAAATGGCCGGAATATAAGCCAAGTATGAATTTAATTTGCTTAAAAAGTAGTTTTTTGGTGTATCCCTTCCTATCGGAAGTTATTCAGGACTACTCGTCTACCTGAAATCATTAAGTAGTTCGTACTAATCGACACTGCCTCGGTGGCTGGTGGTGGTTTCTCGCACAGCACAAACACTTGTATTCATGAGTGTGATTGTTTGTATTGGTCTGAGTGTTTTCTATTTCTATGTATAATATTAAAAGTATGTAATTACGAAAAAAATATCTATGTATTTGTATCAGTTATCTAGTACCCATAACACAAGCTTTAGCTTAACTTGGATCTAGATGGCGCTGTGTGAATTGTCCTGAGATTATTATTATTATTATTTTTATTATTAATATATATCAATGTGTCTATTATATATTTTAAGTAAGGAAAAAGAGATGAAGGGACTGTGTGAAAGATGATATGGTAAGAAAGGAGGTAAATAACGCGATGACTGCGAACAGGGATGAATGGAAGAGAAAAACATATTACGCCGACCCCAAATAAATGGGATAAGGAAGAAGCAGATGATGATGATGATCAATGTGTCTATATAATAGATGATTGCTTATAGACCGATGGGTTGTATTATCATTTAGCTTTACCACTATAAAAAGTGTGTGAACCTCGAATGAAGGTGACATCCTATCGATTGGCGATTCCATGGAAACCTTCATACAATCATTGAAGGCACCTGCTTACGTTGGTATCAATTTTAATACCCTCTTACAGCTTACTGTAAATGAATTATTTATTGACGAACTTGTTTACGACTCAATGCTTTTGTCTTATTATATATAGCTCTTATCTGCCTTCGTCCGTATAGAATTTGACTTTTTTTTATTGAAATATATGAAATTTATTTAAAATAAATAAATCTAGGTTTTTAATCAGTGATAATGGAGTAGTTTTCCCTCTGCGCTACAGTTACGATTATGATTTACGCTGGCGGGGCACCAGTGGAGGATAATAAGATGAATGACTACCGGCCAGTTAACCCATCGTGACAAATCCAAAAGGAATTTATCACGATGGTTTCTAGGGGCAACTGCCTGAAGGTCAACTTAACATGGTACATTGGTAGCAATGGGGTCATTTGTCCACATTACTAACAATCCCATTCCCCCTTAATTTGCTTAAATTACTCCTTATAATATTAGTCATTGCGATTGAAATTCCTGTCAAAATCGGTTCAGCCGTTTAGCCGTTATTTTAGGCCTAAATTTCCTGACTACCAGACGTTAGCAAGAACAAACAAACAAGAAATTTAGGCCACACTCTTCTACGCTTTATAAATATAATTATAAAAAAAGGATAATTCTATATTCAGAGACACCATTTGGACAAATGCCGGTATTGGAGATGAATGGCAAGGAATATACGCAGAGTATCGCCATTTCAAGGTACTTAGGCCGGTTGTACGGACTCGCCGGCGCTGATGTAGAAGAGGATTTTCTCATCGATCAAAACGTGGACTTCCTCAACGATATCCGAGCAAGTAAGCTAAAATTATTATTGTATTCAGTGGCATGTTCATCACCATGATGAATGACTAAGGAGTCTTGAGCGTTCTCGAAAAGCTCAATTTAGTTCGCAGCTCTTACGAACTCTTACTTTTAGTTCGTCATCGCGCAGTCTCTCTCTCAAGTATCTATATAGTTATAATAATAATTAGTATAAAATACCAAGTGCATATATATAGTACTAATAATTATATATATATATTCTTTTAGAATTTTAAAATTCTAAATAAACTGAAGTACAACTAGAATAGTAGAAAGTAACTTAAAGCTAGATTTATTTCTCACTTGATATTTGAGGTAGTAGTAGTTTATGGTAGGAAACAACTGCAATAAACTACTATAACCCAACACAATTATTAACCATTTATACAGGCTTTGTACCAAGGGCTACGACTACAATATTGAAATCCTTTTATGTATAAATCCTAGAATAATCAATACTACAACATATAATAATCAATACTCTTGAACATAAATGTTTAAATGAAGAGAGTATCGAACCTGCGACTTGGAATTTTGGCAGTTTATTAAACTGTTAGACTACAGCATATAGACGCTATTTAACAGTAATGAGTAAAATATAGTGAATTTTAATATTTGAATAGAGGGTGTGGCCGTGCACTATGAAAAAGATCCTGAAGTCAAAGCAAAGAAGCATGAGGATTTTGCAAATAATATATATCCATTCCTCCTGGATAAATTGGACGAAATCATCAAGAAAAACAACGGACATATCGCCGCTGGGAAGGTATCTATATATATATAAATACTCTATTCATATAAATAAAATTGGAGTGTCTGTTTGTAATATTGAAATAACGGTTTTTTTACTACATGCATATGACTATAAATACGGTACATACACTAAAATAGCATTTTTTACAATTTTTGTCTGTCTGTATGTTCCGGCTAATCGCTGAAATGGCTCGACCTATTTAGACGGAACTTTTTTGGCATGTAGCTGATGTAATAAGGAGTAACTTAGGTTATTTAAAAAAATCTTTTATTTTAGAAAAATAAAGTTAAATTCCACGTGGACGAAGTCGCAGGAACAGCTAGTTTATAAATAAAGATTAGGACAAGTAATTTAATCTCAGATATTTGTACTTCGCAAACGGTATACGTTGATGGGGCGCTAGGGGACAGGGTGTTCAAAATGTCAGGTTAGTTTGTCTGAAGTGGTGAATAAACTAGAAAAATAGCATATTGGTGTCCAGGACGGGCCGTGAGGAAATTATTGTACAACTGACGGAATTCCCACCGCGTTACAGACAAATTTATTTAATCAAAATAGCATATAAACTAATAGCTGACAAATTTTGAAGTGCGTCAAAGGAAAGATAGAATAGGAAAAGAACCTATTCTAATTTTGTTTGTTTTGTTTTTAGCTTACATGGGGCGACTTCTACTTCGCGGGATTGTATGACTACTTGAAGGTCATACTGCAAGCACCAGATTTGGATGCGGCATATCCGAGCTTCAAAGAACTCCAGGACACAGTTACATCATTGCCCAAAGTGAAAGATTTCGTAGCATCTGCACCTCATACTAACTTGTAAAATTGGCGCGAAACCTTTTCCTTTCATCATCGTCATCACCATTTCCGCCCGGAAGACGACCACTGCTGATCAAAGGTCACCCCTAAAGATCTCCACGACGATCGGTCCTGCGCTGTCCGCATCGAACGGCTTCCAGCTATCTTGACCAGATTGTCTACCATGCTGCAGGCATTCCCAAACTTCATCTGCCGGTCTGCGGTCGCTACTTCGGAAGCCTTTGCTGACCTTTTTCTTTACTTGGAGAAAAGTCATATGAGAGGAGGAGACCCGTCCGCTCCAGGAGAATGTACTCCCACTCAATACAATTCCAAGGATTTTAGAATAAGCGCTTATTGTCGGGATCGCGGCTACGTTTTTGCATTCGTCCGCACCTCCAAGGGCATTGGCCCTTCACTTAGGCACATATATATGTATAATTCTCAATGATGTTGTTGGTAAAATTTATGTTTAACTATGATATATTTATCTACACGTGCAATAAAACACTAATAAAATTACTTCTATTCTGTATTCATTCAACCTCCGTGCAATATAGTATATACTAGATATTATAAAGAAAGTGTGTCTTGACTGTTCGTTTCTTTTAATTTATTAATAATTAAAAGTATCGTAATAACAAAATCTTTTAATTTTCATAAAAAGTTGAATTAGACGCGCGCTTGAGTTAGTCAATATATAAATAATAATATAAATATAGCAAATTTTTAACTTTCAATCTGATTTAAATTATAAATGTATCAGCATTTGTCTGAGATGAAGACGCGAATTCCTACTTGCCAGGAGGTCATCTTTGTCCTTGAAGAACAAACTTCTCATATACAAGGTTGCGCTCAAACCAATTTAGACTTACGGTATTCAGCTATGGGGAAGCGATTGTTACTCGAATATTGAAATACTCCAACACTATAAAACCTGCATCCTAAAGTGCATCTTAAAAGCACCATGGTTCATCACCAACTCTGGAGGTTCACTTTGCCAACATCGCCACAATCAGGGAAGAAATTGAGAAATCAAGCACCAAATATAAGGTGCGCCTTTCTATTCATCCGAAAGAACTACCTCAGAAGCTTCTAGTCAATAGCAAAGGGCAATCCAACAAAGAGACTAAAAAGAGCAAATATCCTGCTGCTGGATGAAAGATTTTTAGTTAGCTGAAATATGAGTACTTTGTCAAAGGATGGATATCCTCCCACGCAATCTACCAACAACTCGCTTATAGTAGGTACCTGTACTGATTGCAGATAGGCAAATTCCTCTGTTGTTTGTTCGCATAAATCTTTTACATTGCACAACGGATTTTGTGGCAGTTTTCAGCAATAGATCGAATGATTCAAGAGGGAGGTTTATATGTATAATACACTAGCTTTGCCCCCGACTGCGTTCGCGCCGCGCACGCAACGGAAGCCCACAAATATGAATAATTTTCCCTGTTTTTGCAACATATTTCACTGATGCTTCGCTTCTATTAGTCGTAGCGCTTCCTCGACAAAAGGATTACACGACACAAAAAAAATCAATTAGAACTAGTAGTCCTGAGATTAGCGCTTTAAAACAAATAAACAAGCTCTCAGCTTTATAATATGTATAATATAATACATGCGTGTTATAGTATGGAACAAGCCGAGAAATTTAAAGATTTATAATGCATCCGTGCGAAGGGAAGACGGTTCGCTGTAATAAAAGTGAAATAATAAATGCATGTTTGGGTAGGCGAAGTTGGACGTGTCGCTAGTTTCCTTATAAATCACGCTATCGTATCAGGTCGGTTATTTTCCATAGTAGACGCTGGTAGCCGTCACTTACTTACGGCGGGCGTCACAAGATAAATAAAACTGTTGGCAATAGCAACGCGTGCCTCATGCACGCTCGCCGGCCGGCCGGCCGGTGAAGTTGTGTAGCAACAGGCCAACAACACTCAAACGCCCATGCCCTTGTCAGGGTTGTCAACGGTCTGGATATCTCTAAAAAGGTTCCTTATATCGTTTTCTTTTTTTTTATGTAAAAAAGCATGATGGAAGATCGAAGAAAGTGGGAAGAGCTCCACCGACAAGAGCGTAGCTGTTAAATTATGAATGAATGAAATGGTATCGGTAACAATCCGATGGTTCACCTAATGGTAAGTGGTTATCGTAACCATTTACGCGAAGAGCACTAAGGATATATTTTATTTATTTACATAATACTGAGCGAGCTTTATAGTTTCTCAATATGCCCACTTGGTAGATATTGGTAGATTACATATAGGTATATATGGAAGAAAGCGGAATTGTCGTAACTTAAAAAAAACAACTTTATAATAGTTTTACGGTATAATGGGACTGGCATGTACATTTAGATTGTGCAAAAGTCTCTAGAATTTAAAAGAAATAAAACTTTACAATAGAGCGAGAAAACTACATACAAATATTCATAAATAATATAGTTATCGGGTTAGAAATTTGAAAATTGGCATATATTTTTAACCAATATTCAACTTTCTATCTCGTTAAATATACGTATGTATAAAATATATTACGCTGACCCCAAATAAATGGGATAAGAAAGCAAATGATGAAATATATGTTATATACAATAAATAAGGTATAATAAATAAAAGCATTTGTCGACGTTTTTCGCGTGATCACGTATAAGTGCAACCTCTAGTAAAGTACCTTATTTACAATAAAGATATTCGAGAACAGTTCTGTGATATAACAGAAAAGTAAAAAATTTTCATAAACAAATATATTATTATATGTACATATAATTAAATGACCGCACAGGGCGATTTCCAACAGCTAGTTTTGCTGGCTTGTCCATCATTATTTTAATAAATTTTTATATTAAGTATCTTGTTTTCTTCTTTTTGTATTGACTGTCTTGGAACCCTGTTGGGAAATAAAAATGAAATTATTGTGTTTTTGTTTTATTTTTGTGTAGTGATCCCGCTCCAGTCACAATTGGCAACCCTAGCCCTTATTCAGTCAGTCTCACTCAAACTCATCCCACCGCACCGAGTTTGCCCGCAAACCAAACCAGTCGCGTGGGCTCACATCAGTTCAGTCGATTACTGTTCATAGCCAGTACTGCCGTGTTGACACGCAGTTCGATTCAGCACTTACTTCCTTACCTCCACATATTAACTGGTAAGACAAAATATACTATGTACTAAATATGCTATATTTTTCATTCATGTATTCTTTGTTTTGCGGTGAGTCTAAATATTCTATTTAGTACATAGAATATTTAGTATCACTCTCCAATGTATAGCACATTTATGCTATAAATTTACATTCATGTATTAGTTAGTTTTGTTACTACCTACTCTTCCTCTCATATTTTTTTCTTTTACCGCTTATTGTGCAAGCCCATTTAAGTATATTATATTAATATTTTTCTGTATAAATGGTACAATAAAGTGGACAAATAAATGAATAAAGTATTACTTGTTAATAGTTATATTTATTTATAAATAGTGGCCCTTAATTAAATGTAAATTGCTTGTGATTACATATAGTATTATTAATGTGGTTACTTTTGCTATTCTTATACCTAGTACCGGATAAGATATACATTGTCACCTGTTCTGCTATGTCTGTCATCTTGATACAATCTATTTATATACCAAATTACCAGGGTGCCCCTCCTATCGATCCCCCGTCCAATTCAAACGGGGATCGAAATTACGACGGCCTGAGCCGAGGTTCGAACCCCTAGTGGTGCCCTCAGACTAAAATCGTATCCGTCAGGCAGGAGTTGGCCTTCAGCCGCTTCATAAGTCCTTCCGCGGGTTTGGAGTGCCATCTGCTCTCGCCCCCTAACGTCCGGTGAAGCTGTAAAGGCCAGCTGCGGCCAACAGCATTAGAGTAGTCCGAAAAAAAAAACAAATTTGATTATAATCTGTTCAGCCGTTAAGTCATAAAATAAAAGTCATGGATAGATAGGCACATTTTCACATTTAAAATATTAGTACGGATTAACGATCCGCCCCGCGATCTATAGGATAACTACACTCATATTTATTTATAATGACATACAGACCGGCTGTTAAACCTTCCAATAAGAATATTTATTAATTTGTTCGTGTGTTTTTTCTAAGTAATCATTACAAAGTAAAACTGAAATGTTTTCTGTTTGTTGTATTAATTTACGTGTGGGTAGACGAATTATATTTTGTTAATGATGCTATCTTACAGAATCGCAGATTTCAGCCAATGTTTAAATAAATGTAGAAGAGTAATTTACGAAAATTTTGCATTATATTCAATATATTTTTATATTTAATATTGTTTAAATAACACACAGAAAGGAACTTATTAATTTTGTAATCAAATGATCAAATTTTTGAAGGTAACATAAGTATGACGTGTATAATTTTATCAATATTTTTTGGTTCATTTCGTTCACCATGTTAGTACTTAGGTCATTACTGTTTTTGCGTTTTTAATGGTATTTAACTATAGGTACTATAGCTACGTAGGTACTTTATATTCTGTGTATTGGGTATATGCTGGAAGGATGTTGTATTGTAACGCATTTCAACGAATCAACAATGGACAATACCATGCACTGTATGTACATAGATACATGTAGTACATAGGTACTCAATAACAAAGAGACTATAGCGATTCTGTAACATGTAGTTTTGCTTCGAATCAACATGTTCATAAACTATAATGATTGCAAATATATAATCGAAATTAATTTAGCCAAAGCAATACACTCGAATACTTGCTCTTTATCGGAGTCCGTTAACAATCGCTTCGGTAATAAATATGGTGGTTTTACCGTTATCGTTACTCGGTACTTTATAAAATTGAATAAGGTATCAATTCAAACCAAAAAAAATTTATATCAATATAAAGTACATAAATATCAATTCGAAAAAAGTAAAGTACCTAAATATAGAAAAGAGGACTAAATTAAAAAATTAAATTTCGAATGCACACCTCGATATTCGAATATCGAAATGAGTTCTTATCCGTTGATTTATAAAATGGAGTAAGGGGTAAATTCAATCTAAAAGAAATATTCAATATACACTTAGGTGTCATTTCAAAAATAGAATACTAAATAAAAATTTGAAATTTCGAGTGCAGTTCTTGAAATTCGAATATCCAAATGTGTTCTTATCCTCTACTTTATAAAATGGACTAAAGTGTGAATTTGAACTAAAAAATATGAATAAAGTAAGATCACATTTCGAAAATCGAATACAAATTAAAAATTGAAATTTCGAATATGAAAAATTAATATTTCGAGAGTAAAAATTGAAATTAAAAATTTGAATATCGAAATGAGTTGTTCCTAAATTTTGATATACATATATAACCAAAATTCTTTACTTTGCTTATTTGTAGGTACTTGTTATTTTTGTTTATATCTATAAAATCCTTTGACTTGTTATTGTGTGCTGTTAATAATATTTAGCTTATATTTTAACGTTTATCTACAAATACGTTTATCGTGGATCGTACGAGTACATAGGTACTAATCATTTTGTACATCGTACGACAGAACAGATCAATTAAAGCGGTTTTTAATGTTTTATCCAATCCCAAAGTATGGACATTGAACATTCGTTTTTTTATCACTAACTTTTACGAGTGTTGTTTTTTTTAATTTCTTTGAAATTTCCATTTTTGTACAAGCTAAAAATACATGCCAGTTCTATTGTAGATACCTTAAAACTATAAAATATCACTTCAAAAATGAGCAAATTGCTTTGCAGCACTATCTGAAGGATCGGCTAAAAACCTTGAATGGCTCATATCGTAATTATTAAAGAAAATAGATAGATAAGAATTTGTACATTATATATAAAATAAGTAAAAACAATACATATATAAAAAAGAGTTTAGTTTGCATGTAAGAACTACCAAACCTATTCTTTAAGTATTTCTTCTCTGTAAATAATAATAATAATTACATATTATTAAAAAAAATACAGAAAATGCCGGCTGCTGTATATCACTATTTCCCCGTGAAGGCTTTGGGCGAGCCTATCCGTCTGCTGCTGTCTTACGGCGGCCAGGAGTTCCAGGATGATCGTATTCCAAATGATAAGTGGCCGGAGTACAAACCAAGTGAGTACGAATATTACTAAACTTCATAATCAATTCATTTATATTATATTATAGTAAATAATATATTATTATCAGTTACTGCCGAGAATGGAAAATTATAAAAGTACTAATATCGCTATATAAAAAGAGGGGTTAGTTGTAGAGGAGTGAAAATGCATGACACTTTTAATGCAACCATGAATAATAAAAAAAAATTTTATCCAATAATAATAAAACAAATTAAGCTAATCCTTATCACTAATGGCTATAAAAAATAGATAACAATATTCTCAAATCTACCGAGTATACATATAAATTTTATCAAAATCGGTTAAGCCGTTTCGAAGTATGACAACTAGCACTGTGACACGAGAATTTTATATCTTACTGATATTATAAACGCGGAAGTTTGTGAGTGTGGATGGATGTTTGTTACTCTTTCACGCAAAAACTACTGAATGGATTTTAATTAAACTTCACAACAATATAGCTTATACCTTAAAACACATAGGCTATAAATATGCGGGTGAAACCGCAGGCATAGTGAGTATTAAATGTAATGCATGAACGTAATTCGTAGTGCGATACATTTATATATTTTTATAAATTGGAAATTAAAAGTGTAGAAAGGGTTCTAAAGGTTTGAAAGCGGAGATGAAAAGTTCTACGAAAGTATCGTCATATTTTAAGTAGAACGATGAAACTTTTGTTGGGTTATAATGTAACTAAATATATTTTCTTTATTTGGTCAAGTTCTCTATTCCATATGCTCGAAATCGCGGGCACAGCTAGTATAACATAATAATCTTCAATTCTCAAAGCGCCTACTAGTTCTCAGCTAAGCGGATCTTGCGTTACTAGTGTCTATACAACTGGTAGAAAAATATAAACAACATTTGGCAAATACATACATAAACATAGAAAACACAAACCAACTCGAAACACTTATGAATACAAATATTTGCATCGTACGAGGAATAGAACCCGCGATCATCAGAAGTCAGGCTGTCATTTGTCAACCCAGTTGTCAGGTTATTTACCATATTGTAAAAATAGACCATCTAATACACTTTGTGTTAGGCAATTTAAAATGAACGGCCTTGATATCAGGCGTAATGACTTTTTACAAGCATTTCTACTGGATTGCGTCATAATAAGCAATACACCTGAAATATTCCTATAAACCTAATTATTATAAATGTATGTAGTATTATCTTATCTGTGGCAATACTAAGTTTGTTATACTTTGACGCCTAAACAGCTGGATCGATTATGATGAATTATTGTCGATGTAAAGTATTACGAGACCCTGGAGACGGCAATAGGTTACTCTTTTTCGCGAAATTTTAATAGGGCGTGGTGCGAAGGATGAGGTAATGTTGTCTGTCTGTCTCGCTTTCACGCCACAACTACTGAATCGATATAAATGCTCTTTGATACATAGATAGTCTAGACCTTGAGAAAGAGCATAGGCTACTTTTTGAAGTGAAAAAAGGGTTGTAAGGGATTGAAAGAGAAGCTGAAAGATTGTATAGAGGTATCGTTATTTTAGAAGATTGAAACTTATTTTTTGAGCTGTTCATTAAAATTAAATAAATATGACATTCAAAGTTTGTAAAAATTTTACCCTTAAGGAGGTTAAATAAAATAGGTGATGAAAATTAGTTTGAAAATTCGCCATTTCTGTAGCTTCAACGATGACCCTTTTTTCTTTAACTTTTTTGGGTTAGATTATGAAATAATTTTTGGTCAAGGTGACTATTTCACGCGGACAAAGTCGTGGGTACAGCTAGTTAAGTATAATACGGACGCTACTATGTTTACATAGCATGTAACAATAACTGCTTCTGATAATGCGACCCCAATGCAGTACAGTAGAATAATCTTTTTATCGAGATGCATACAGACTATTACAGACGTCATAATTATTATAAGTGCATTATTATGAATGCATGCGTTTTTTATTATCTGTATAAACTACACAGATAATGTATGTGATATAAAAAATGTATTATAAAGTTTCAACATAAAGAATGCTCTTATATTCTTATAGTACTTACTGTACTTAAGGTTATTGCAAGAATCCATGTTATTGATAAACTCTTACGGGCGTTAGGATCTCAGGGTTCTTGTTGTTTTTTTTATGGATGATAATGGAATGGTGCACTGGCCTGCAGTAACGGTTTACGCCCGGCCCGGCCGGGCACCAGTGGAGGATGTTAAGATGAGCATGAGGTCAGGTCAGTTAGCCTATAGTGACAAAATCATCAGTGATTTATCATGATGGTTTCCAGGGAGAACAACGTGGAAGTCAATTTGATACCATACATTGTTAGCAATGGGGTCAACAATCCACGTTACTAAAAATTCCCTTTCTCCTTGTTATTGTGAGTTAAAAGAACCTTATATAAAGCTATTTATTTTTAAAACAAAATCGAACTGTCCAACGATGATGGTAAACATATTCGATGGTAAACATTTAGATAGATAGATAAGATGTTTATTTAAATTATTACAAATTACACACAATTACACTTATATGAATATGGAATATACATAGATAGACATTAATATTAACAAAATCGAACTGTCCAACGATGATGGTAAACGTATCCTATGGTAAACATTTAGATAGATAGATAAGATGTTTATTTAAATTATTACAAATTACACACAATTACACTTATATGAATATGGAATATACATAGATAGACATTAATATTAACAAAATCGAACTGTCCAACGATGATGGTAAACATATTCGATGGTAAACATTTAGATAGATAGACAAGACGTTTATTTAAATTCTTACAAATTACACACAATTACACTTATATGAATATGGACTAGACATAGATCGACATAATATTAACAAGTTTACGCTTTACATGTGATCAGCGGTAATACAAAAAGGACTAAGTTACTTGTCGGAAATTGTTTAAAGAATAAAGCACTGATTTTCAGTTCAACACACTTGAGGCTACGTGAAAATAAATAATAAACAAAAAGAGCAAAGAAAATGGCGGCTGCCTGAGCCGTATGTTACGTGGGCAGTACGTATTTATAATACGAATATAATAGAAATCTTAATTCAAATCGTAAATTTAATAAAGTAAATGGAATGAACCGTGACTTATGGACGTCCCATGAAAAACCCTATACATGAGGAATAAGAAATTAATTTAAAATGAAATTATTTAATTTATTTATACTTCATCCATTAATTTATTTATTTACTACAATAGAATTTCATTTCTCTTATCAATAGTCTCTAAACTGGGTCAGATCTGTATCTTGTGGGCTGGGAAATACGGCGAGTAACGTTGCGACTAAACTCTATATTCTGTTTACATGTTATGAATCATATTATCTAATCTGTCATAGCAACACAAATACAAATTCTGGTTTGTTACCATGCCAGATAACAGATAAGGGCCGGATAAACTATTAGGCCTAAAGTTGCCTAAGGGCCCGATTTGATAATGGGCTCCACGCGCGCACACAAATAAAATTCAAAATGTTTCATAGACAGAAAATTTAGATTTACTAAATGCTTCAGACTTACAGAGCAGTGAAATTACAGTATAAGAGGCATGCCATCTTAGTCATCTTAGTCATCTGCTGCTGTATATGCTTAATACCATCTTAGTGCTCTGGCAAAGCAGCTGTACATGTTTAAAGACGACGGTTACTGTTTACCATCAAGTGTACCATCAAGGGTGTCTGTTTGTTTTCCATATTGTCTGACTGTCATAAACATATCGAGTAACAAAAGTAATATGGTTGCGTACATTTTATGATAAAACTAATATATATATTTTTGTCCCTATATCAAATTGAAAAGACAAATGATTCTAAAACCCTATTAAAAATATTGTAGATTCTGTCGACGACCTTAGACGACTTCTTTTTAGTAATTATTTTAAACAGGGCTCCGAGAATTGCATAACCTCAATCCGGCCCTGTTTATAAATGATAACAGTAAAGAGGTTGTTACACTATCTTTATTTTTATGACCATATCTATATTTTCTTCCTTGGAATAAATATATAGTAAACAACATGTTTTTCTCACTAAAATAACAGTGCAAAAACTGGACAAGCACAGAATAAGCACTATGCCATAATGATTGAATTAACAAGTAACTTAGGAAATGAAAAATGTATTATTCCTTAGACTCTATTGTTGTTCAATGCATATTGTAATTCAATGCCATAGAAATAGAGTTCAGAAATAGATGGCCATGAACAGATTGTCGTTGTCAAGGTTAACATAATTGGATCTATTATGTCACGACGACGCGACGATCTGAGTTTTGGTAGCTTTCCGTTTGTTATATTTTCGACTCTATGTGTATGACTTTAAAATCTATAACATCTATAGCAACAGGAATCATTTTGAGAACTTTATTACCATATATTCAGGATATTGTCAATCACTATTATCTATTTGAAGTAGAGGTAGAACAACAAGGTAGAGTTTTAAAAAGTTAAAATTTCGTGTTTATTACATATTATTTATATTGTTAACCACATAGCACATAACCACATAACCATGGTTAAGTTTATAAGCACATAACCACGGCTAGTGCAACCTAGTCGAAATGTCTAGTCGAGATGTAAATACCTTTATTTACCATAAAATTATTCATGTTAAAAACCGGTTCTAGATAGTCTAGATTACTAACAAAAAAAATCAATATTTCTATCAGTTGTCTAGTATACCCATAACACAGAATCTGCTTACCGTGATGACACATGAACTCTATGTTAATTGTCCATGGATATTCATCATCTGCTTCTTCCTTATCCCGTTTATTTGGAGTCGACGTAATATGTTTCTCTTCCATTCAATTGTCCATGGATATTATTATTATAATTAGCAGGTTACTAATTTTTGGTCGTCAGACATTACTCATCTTCCATTTAGATCTTAGTCCACCAAATGGCAACATAACCACTACACACAGCATAAGATGGATGATGTGCAGGCCACGCTTACCATCAGCTGGTCTGGTAGATGGCTTTAAAGCTATAACGCGAAATAGAACTGCGTCACTCATATATATTGTAATTTACTAACATAGTGTATAATTTGTTTACTAACATAATATGGATGGATATCCGAAATAAATGAATAAATAAATTTATTAAAAAAATGTCGTTACCACTTTACAGAGACCCCATTTGGCCAGATGCCAGTTCTGGAGCTGAATGGTAAGGTATACACCCAGAGTGTGGCGATTGCAAGATATCTGGGCCGTAAGTACGGGCTGACCGGTGCTGATATTGAAGAAGACTTCCTCATCGACCAGTACGTGGACTTCCTCAACGATATCCGTTCAAGTGAGTCTAGATTTAAAAGCTTTGCTTGGTTTGTGTGTCTGACTTTGTCTGCATTAAATTAGAAAGGAATAGATATAGGCAATTTGTTCAGTTTGTGGTGAGGTAATGGATTAATTAGTTTTAGGGTACAATGGGACTGGCATATACTTTTAGATTGTATAAAAGTCCCTAAATAAGAAAAAAAAAATCCATTGAATTTAACATGCTGTACTTGAATCAATGAGTATGTAAGTAGAAAAATCAATCAGAAGACCGCTGTGTATGTAAGAACCTAATGTTGTAATAGAATTGGGAGATCGTGGAAGAAAATTTTTATCTCTTTTGGAGAGAGAGACATCCTAAAGAGATAAAAATCATCGCTCCTAAGAATATCCATCAATTCTTGTCCCTAATGGGTCTAGATAACGAACATAATATATGTATCTATGTAAGTAGCAGTACAGCTCTAAACGCCTAATAAAAGCTTTGTGCTTTTATTAGGCGTTTAGAGCTGTACGTCTCAGTAAAAAAACAAATGTCTACCAATACTCACAAATTTTCGCGTTTATAATATTAGTAAGATATAATTAAAATGGCCACTAGTTAGACCGAGACGTTTTTAGGACTATTATATCATGATGACATGATAACATGATGATTACAGAGTCAGCTGCAGTACACTATGAAACAGACGCTGCACTCAAGGCAAAGAAACACGAGGAGAACGCGAAAACCCTGTACCCCTTCCTGCTGCAGAAACTGGATGAGATTATAAAGCAAAACAACGGCTACCTTGTAGGCGGAAAGGTGTGTATCACTTTAATATTGTTATTATTGTGTTTGACTTCGGCGGGAGAGTATTGGTTAAAAAGATTCTACGAATTACATACATACATGTGACGTGATAAAGATGTGTCCTAAACTACTAGACCAGCGAGGTCCTGTGGTCTCTTGTAATTACATTATTAGCGATTTAATCATAGATTGCAAAATATACAAAACAATGAATAAACTACATAACATATAGTATTTAATATTATACTAGTATATGTACTTAATATATTTTTTTTATGGATGATAATGGTGCACCCGTTAGGTCAGTGTTAGCCCATGTGGACAAATTCCTCAAGAAGCTATCACGATGGTTTCCAGGGGGAACCGCGTGGAGGTCTACCTGACATAGTACATTTTTAACAATGGAGTCATCATTCCACATTACTGATAATCCCCTTCCCCCTTGTACTTAATATTAAAATTAAAAGTCATATTCATAAATACAATATTTCATCTATTTTGTTTCCAGTTGACATGGGGAGATTTCGTGTTCACGGGATTGTACGATTACCTCAAGGTGATGATGCAGGCTCCGGACCTGGACACAAAGTACCCCAGATTCAAGAAGTTGTACGATACAGTACAGTCCTTGCCAAAGGTGAAGGAGTACGTTGCGGCTGCGCCACCAACTGAATGTTGAAGGTGTTTAACTAGAGGAGGTTTATATCAAGAGTTGCTGTAGGAATTGTACGATGACTTGGCCCCACGTTTTTTTTGCAGTAAACTATTTCTTTAGAATCTTGCGTGCTTGTAACACGACTGTGCTACTAGTATAGTATCCGACACGAAATTAGGTTCTAATAGATATTTGGTTAAAACTGATAGTTTTAAATTAGTTCCCTTTTACTACTAGTAATGTGATTTTCGTTTAATTAATTAGAGAAACCGAAGCTTAACTGTAGCGCCGAAACTAGTTGACGTAATGTTCAGTCAAATACTAGTTACTTCCATTATTATATACCAATAAAATTAAGAACTATTCCTTTATCACTATGGTCAGCTCAAACGATGCTTCCTTTACGTTAATTTGTAGAATGGGCCGAGTCATCGTATATCGAATTATACATATATACCTAATCTTTAAAAGAAAATGTGTATTTTTGAAGACTGTATGTAACACATAATGTTCTCATTATTATAACTTTACCCCATTATTCATAAAAAAAAAACTAAATATACATTAAAATTTAATTTCAGTTCAATTTTTAATAGTCTATTTCTATTTTACCGTTCCTTTGGTATGCTGATTCAACCTAGAAGAATGAGCAAGAAACTTACCTGTTGCATTTGATATTTTTAACTTAATACAAAAACTGAACTGGTTTAATAAACGTTTAGCGGTTTCTATGAATACAGGGGGTAAAACTGTTATTCGGTATTGTTTTCTGTTGTTGAGTGTACATGTTTGAATCAGGAACATCATGAATGAACAACCTTGAGAGAGTATTTTGCTATTATGTTTGCGATATTTTGTATAACTACATGTATTTTAGTATTACATAAAAAAATATACCTGGTATTTTTAACATTATAATTAAATAAATAATAATGGATGTTTCATTTATACTCGTACTAGCTACTCGCCCCGGCTTCGCACGGGTGTACATGTATTATATATATATATATATATATATATATATAAAAGTTCCTCTTGAATCACTTTATCTATTAAAAAAATATCGCTTCAAAATCCGTTGCGTAGTTTTAAAGATTTAAGTATACATAGGGACGGGCAGACAGCGCCAGCGACAGCGACTTTGTTTTATACTATGTAGTGATTATTAAGTACAAACTACAAAGATATAACTGTCGTTTTCATGAAGAAAATTGTATTTCTGAATATTCAATTATAACATAACTACATAACACTACAATCTGGTTGTGTTATAAATAAATATTCCCATTGTTCATGTCCGGCACATGAACAATACGAATATTTTTTTATAACTTAACTTAATAACTTGTTAACTAACTAATTAATTGGATAACTTGATTAATTAGAGTAAAAACCTTATCCTATATCTATTTCTTTGGAAAATATAGCTACTTCAAATAAGCCCTTGCGTGGATATTTTAAAAATTTTCAATATTAAATAACTTTCCTGCCACAATAAAAAAAATATTTCGCAAACTCCCCAAATACCGAGTTCTGAATTAGCAGGCGTTTATATGATAGTGTAATTCGTTTTTAAGTTATATTAATGTATTTTAATTTAAACTTGCTCTAGGAAATTTTACGAGATCTTTTTTTATTTACTACTTTATTATGAAAAGTTAATTATAATTCTAATGCTTTCAGTACTTTTTCAAATTATTGTGCTGTCGTGAATTCTTGTACAATAATTTGCTGTTGGGTCCTTTTTGTTTTATAGTTACGTGTAGGTAATTCTAAAATGAAGTTGTTCAAAGAAAATCGGTCTAATTGAGGGAATACTTTAATCTGAAGATCCTCTTTAATAGTAGATGACCCATCGACAAAATATTAACAATTGTGTGTAGAGACAAGGATAAGTAGGATAGTTTGTGGAATGCACTTTTAGCTTAGGCAATCAGCACAAATGTGGTAAAATCTGAGTTCAAATCAGGATTTCTTAACCTTTACCATTACTTTAATTGTATAAATAATTAAAATACTGAGACATAGGAGATAAAAAAAGTAATAAACAAATAGGTTTAGATACTGTTTATTTTCATCTCGTATTTTATTATATTTGAAAAAAATTACTTACTGATTACTTGTTCAAATAATTATACTCTTTGACTTTGGAAATAAAACATTATCTGGATTTTACTAGGAAATAAAGATGATTTATTTCCTAGTAAATTTTTCATTCATTTGGAAATAAAATAAATATAAATATATTATTATTATACATCGACAGTTACTTTTATTTCACGAAGAAGGAAGCAGTAGTCAAATTTCTAATTTATAGGTATTTGATAGGAGGATTTGGAGGAATAATCGAAAAGTGTTGGAAGCGGATTTTATATTTACACCTTCTGTAATGTTCGTGAATACTCAAGAAGTACGAAACAAGACATACAGACAATCCAATCAAAACTGAAATGACAGCTGTTGGATATTTGAAATTGGACCTTCTCGGGTCTGAAGAATAAACCTTAAGGTACGTAGTTGCAAATTTCATGCAATCGTAGATATTGTGGTCTTCTCGTCACGTTTCACCTTCATGCTGGCTTCTACTTGCTCCACGGTGTCAAACAGTGGCAGTTCCTTCGTCTCAGGAGTGAGGGTTATGAGTGCGGCTGTCACAGCTGAAGATACTCCGAACAGTATGGCGGGGAGAGACGCTGATATGTCGTACTGGAATTAAGTAAATAAATTTGGAGTATATAAAAAATTATAAGAACAATGAGGACAGAACAGCGGTAGAAATTTGTAATGGTCTGTGTGTTTTCTATGTATATTATGTATGTATTACAAAAAATTGAAATTGTATTTATTACTAGTATTTACATAACCTAATTGTACAACTAAGAACCTAAAATTAAAAAGCTTAAAAAAATATATAATATGATGACTAAAATATATTATTAAAAGGGGTCCCTTTAGGCAACGTTCCGAAGATACTGGCAGCGTTCCCTCTTTGAATAGCTAGACTAATTCTTTGTCCAAGGTAGCTGCCAGCTCTTCGGTCTTCTGTGATGTCGACTAACCTTTTCGTTATATTCGCACAAAAAGTTATATGTACTTATATCAGCTGTCCAGTATCTATAAAACAAGCTCTGCTTAGTATGGTACTAGAAGACATAGTGTTCAATGTCTTGAGATATTATTATAATTTATTTATTAATAAAAATGTATTTCTGTTAACTGCGTCAACCCCGAAAACATAATAAAAATTAATTTAGGTATTTCTGCGAGTTGTCTAGTATCCATAACACTATTGTGGTAAATAATACAATGTTATTATTATAATTAATTCTCAATTAATATGCAATTTATAATTAAATAACCTACCAGCATAGGTGTCAAAGGGGCGAGCATGTTGCCCAGTCTGGAAGCGAAGGCGCATACTCCGAGCAGGGTGCCTCTAGCAGTGGTGGGGAACAGCTCCATGCTGTATGTGACAGCCCCAGTGAAGCATGAAGATATCACCACTTTGCCCAATAGGAACAGAGTTATTTTCAACCATACCAAGCCTGTGGAGTAATTTATGAAAGTCTTTTAGAATCTTTTTTCTTTAGAGACTTCTGCGCTTCTGGGTGGAGCTTGGCTGGTTACTTTAGTAGTCTCAGTTCTATACGTACAACGGCCCAGATGAGAAACTGATTACGGTAAGTAGTCCTATTGACATTATTTGTATTTTGTTTATGTAATTTTAATATTCAAGAGCTCCACCGACAAGAGCGTAGCTCTTAAATTATGAATGAATGAATGAATTTTAATATTAAGTAAGCTAACGGTCCACCAGATGGTAAGTGGTAACCGTCGCCTACATACATGAACAACAACACGGACATCACATGTTCTTGTGATGGCAGTGATATCATAAAAGAGTTGCCATTTCAAATTCCGTCAGTCCAGGCAGTATACACTGACTGAAATTGGTACAGTAGATACTCAATAAAGAATGACTAACATAGTCCTTTTCTCCTTCACTAGACTGCCTGCTTAAAGGATTGTGACGTAATCATCATAAACATAAAAAAAAACTTAACAAATTTACACGGAAGGAGGTTCTGACGTGTACCAAAATACCGACCAACAATGTAATGGGTATAAATCGTGTCGTACATACTATAAGAACCCAAAAAGAAACTAACTTGCAGGCACATATCCAGATGCTATGCATAACGTCCCACAAATGGCAAATCCAACAATAAGTGGCAGTTTTCTTCCTATCCTGTTCATAAAATACAAAGATATAAGTTCGCCTGGAAACGACATCACTGTAGACAATAGAAAGTTCGTGTATTTATTTCCCGGCAACCACACTGAATTGATCATAAGTCCATAATATACGAAACTTGCACTGAATCGACTAGCTGCACCCACTAGTATACGCAATAATATTTGTTTCGATGAAAAAATCTTCTTGTAACCTTCCTTCACAGTTGTCTTTCCAATATTCAGTTTATTTTTTAATATAGCTTCGTCCGATTCTGTTATAACATCATTAAATTTAATATTATTCGTCTCCGCTGTTAATCGTAAAGTTTCAATCGCCTCTTTAGTTTTGCCGTTTAGCAGTTGCCATCGCGGACTCTCTCTGATCACGAAGACCAGAGCGAGACAAATAATGCCCGGTGTGTATATGATGCGTGCAAGAGTTTTCCAATACGGAACAAACATTGCAATAATGGCGAAAAGCGATTCTCCAACGTAAATCGCGTACGCAAATAGCACAGATGATAGAAGCCTCTGTTTTTTTCCACTTATTTCTATCACTGGAAAGAAAAAAATATTGTTAAGTATACAATTAATCATTCCATGGAAACAATTTCGATTTTTTATGGCAGAAAACATAATCCCATCTACTGGAAAAAGGAACAATGTTTTTTGTAAAACTATTAATACTATAGTACTAACATTATGATACCTAGATACATAGTTATCCTCATAACTGTTATTCCGGATGGGGTAGTAAGAGTTGTAGTCAAAGATAAACGTTGTGACAAACGTAATACCTACTTGACATACCTACATGTCTTATACTAGATGTTATACTTGTTATTGCTGAAGATTATT